GTGTGCGGATAAAAACAAAAGGGAGGGGGGGGAGGAGGCGAAGGAGATAGGCTTCTGGAGGGATGGGGGATAGGTATTGGAGAGGTAGTATGGGGGGGGGGGGGGAAGGCGTGACAAGCAAGATGGGCGAGGTTATCCCAGGATCATGCGTGAGCATGATGGAGCGTCCGCCACTAGCCCTCTTCATCCTTCCAGAGTATCTCATTATAACCTCCACCCTTCTCTCAACCCCCCCTGCATCCTACACTAGTATGGTACACACACCATGGGTGGGTCCCTCGCTCCTTACTACATACCCCACGCTCGCGAGACCTACATACAGATGGCGCTACCTGAGTTGTAACACCCGCTGGACGTGTATATAATGTCCATCAGCCCAGTCGTAGCGGCCGTGTACGTGGTCGTAGGGCCAACCGCATTGATTCGACGTAAAGTCTTTCGAGAACGTTGAATCACTGTCTATAACGTTGCTTCAAGGTGACTGAATCATGTGTGGGCCCACCGGGACTACCAGAAATTGAATTGAAATAAGTTTATTGAGGTAAAATACACACAAAGGGATGAGGTAGCTCAAGCTATTCTCACCCCGTTCAGTACATCGTGTTAATACATACATATTCACACATCTCAAGCAATAAACGTATTACCGAACATTCTGAGATAAACATATACATTTCTTCCTTTACACAAGTAGGGACTACCAGAGTTCCTGGTCCAAAGTTTAGTAATGGAGTAAGAAAGTAGAACACGTATGCAGTCGATGAAACACAATAACTGGTTCTCTTCAACTAGAACAATTCCCTCAACAGGATCAAACAGTCCGAATAGAGATACAGAATATCAGCAACATAATATATTATATTACTGTCGTCTACTTGTGTAACAGAAAAGTGGAGCAACTTGGTATTAAAGGCTAATTTAAAAATGGCAAGTAGCTTACACGGCTAATTGGGAACTGGGAATATAATCTTAAAATATGCTTTACTGAACAAACAAGAATTTAAAAAAAGAAATAAAAGCTCTCGGGTCATCTAAGTACTAGTATTCTAGAAAGATTGCTTATTGAAGAAGAAATGGGTGATATTCTAAATACGCATTTTATCTATCTAGAGAAAAACTCGAACATTTCCAAAGTTGATCAAATACACAAGAGTGGAGAAAGCGCGGTAAGTGAGCTTACATATACTACGAAAGTCAAACAAAAACCTAAAACCAGAATAAGTACCGACGAAGTACCTTCCAGGGTCTGAGAAGACTGTAAAAGTCTTAATCAACCCTTATCAAGTATATTTTCAGTCAATCATTACCGTTGGATACTGTGGGTGAGCTGTTGCCAATGTACACTCCACCTGTATTTTATGTGTGAAGTATATTACAATTAAACCTATCCAATTTGTTGAACGATAATTGTGTAATGGAGTAAGAAAGTAGAACACGTATGCAGTCGATGAAACACAATAACTGGTTCTCTTCAACTAGAACAATTCCCTCAACAGGATCAAACAGTCCGAATAGAGATACAGAATATCAGCAACATAATATATTATATTACTGTCGTCTACTTGTGTAACAGAAAAGTGGAGCAACTTGGTATTAAAGGCTAATTTAAAAATGGCAAGTAGCTTACACGGCTAATTGGGAACTGGGAATATAATCTTAAAATATGCTTTACTGAACAAACAAGAATTTAAAAAAAGAAATAAAAACTCTCGGGTCATCTAAGTACTAGTATTCTAGAAAGATTGCTTATTGAAGAAGAAATGGGTGATATTCTAAATACGCATTTTATCTATCTAGAGAAAAACTCGAACATTTCCAAAGTTGATCAAATACACAAGAGTGGAGAAAGCGCGGTAAGTGAGCTTACATATACTACGAAAGTCAAACAAAAACCTAAAACCAGAATAAGTACCGACGAAGTACCTTCCAGGGTCTGAGAAGACTGTAAAAGTCTTAATCAACCCTTATCAAGTATATTTTCAGTCAATCATTACCGTTGGATACTGTGGGTGAGCTGTTGCCAATGTACACTCCACCTGTATTTTATGTGTGAAGTATATTACAATTAAACCTATCCAATTTGTTGAACGATAATTGTGGGATTATTACTTGAAGCGTTAATCGCAAAGTTACTGATTAACTACCATCTTACGTACCTGCTACTACCATCTATCAGCTGTCTCACCCTGTCAAAGTAAGAGAGACAAATGTATATGTGTGTGTGTATATATGTATGTATGTGTGTGTATGTATGTGAATAAAGTATATGTGGAAGCTGATCAGTTACGTTTCGCCTTTGTAAATGCACATTAATGATACTATATAAAAGACACATCGAACACTATGTAGCATACATAAATCTGTATCTATGTATTTACGTATGTAGCTTAGCCTAGCATTTTAAAAGCACTACAATTACCTTCTGTGGTTGATTGTTCAATAAATCCCTGAACTGTATGTCTGACAAATCTCTCACCCTGTCCATGGAGAACAGAAGAAAATGTATATATGTTGATTAGCATTGTAAATGTGTGGCCACGTCTGTAGTAGAAAATAATAATAATAAAAACTACGCAAAACCCTAATTACAGCTCAAACACTGTTTAATATGCACGGGGAAGCACTTCCTAACCTCATAACTCAGCAACAATGACCCCAATACAGTAATTAAGGACATACTCAGGTGGCCAATAGACGAGGGCAGCAGCACACAAAATCAGTCTGAAGTCCACACTACCACTGACGGTTTAAACTCCAGGGGGCAGCTGGATTCAGCTTTGTTTTCTGCCAAACAACATAACTGACATTTATGGATAGTTTGTCTCTAACATAATTAAATAACGGCACTATATGGTAACAAACAATCATCTAGATGCATAATCTATCAAGATAACATTCTCAAGGACTTGGTATTTAATGAACTAAAACATTTTCCTCAAATTACGCCTTTAAGCCTCATGGAGAGCTGGCAACTGTGTCATCACCCTCCCCCCCCCCCCACCTCTGGTTATGCCAGAGTTCCACCACCCAAACAAATCCGTTAAGCTGGGAGACGGTCCTAACCCTCTCCCTTCCTTATTTATTATCTTTCTTAACTTACGTTAATTATATTTACATATGAATAATTTTAAACTCCTTGGAACTTGTATGCAAATTAATATATCATAAGCTATATATAATTTGGAGTGCGAAAAAGATATGTGAATTCAGAGAATTCTATAACCAATGTTCAAGAGATGTGTAAATATTTCATACAAAATGATCTGCTACCAGAAATTTTAGCCAAATATCTCCAGTTTACTAATTGTAGGTAGTAACTGAGTGATTGTAACCTATCCACCGCTGCCCACTGGATGGGGGGGGGGGGCGGCGAGTAGGATTAACATATCACTTGTGACACTAGCTCTCCACTTATGTCAGTTGCTTAATTTAGAAACTGTACTTGTGGTCGATCTCGAGCCATTGATGATGTGACAATGTGCATTGAATTTTGTAACTAGCTCATCAAGATTGTAACTTGCTTAGCTATATGAATTGTGGGTTTCAGTCCCTGAGCCCATTATGTGCCTCTGTAACCCGTTCCACCACTGCCCACAAGATGGGTATGGGGTGCATAATAAATGAACTAACTAAACTATATTTTATCTTAATAAATAATTTGCGTAGGCTATTACAACTTAAATTCCTTAATGGAATACAGTAGCTATCACGAATATGAATTAAACTTAACGTAACGACTTTTTACATGTAAAATAAATAATATTTATAAAATGCGATTTGTGTGTGTGTAACTTATTTTGTTTATTTAGTCCATAACACGAATTATTGAAGGAAAATATTTTGCGAGATTTGAACTTCAAATCAAAGAAAAACATGGGACCTCAGAGAACTTAATTGTTCAAAAAATCCTCACTGATTAATGCTCCAATTATGTGTACATTCATCGTGGTATTACAGTCATGACTACAACAATACAGACTCATATACATACCTCAATGTTACATGCATTTTCAATTCCAACTTTTCCATGCTGGATCTCATAGCTTCTTCTGCATCTCGTGACGCTCCAGTACTCCTGACCGAATGGTCCCCCATAACTAACGTATGGCCGAGAGGTACACATGTATATCGATCTTTGAAAACACTTTGCACAGTAATTAAAGTCGCTAGAAACGCTAAATAAAGCGATTCACAGGAATAAAGTCACGCGCTCACCTGACTCTCATTGTTGACATTTGGACTGGCATGGAGGACGTAGTTACGGATGCAATACTCTTCAGGGGATTTTCTTTTTTAACCTTGCTTTGCTAGGCATAAATGATGCAAAACATTCATATTATAATATTCACAATTATATTTTTTGGTACTAAATGACATGCGAGATCAATTTCTTAGGCATTCGTTGCCTGGCCGGTGTTAATCTGATTCCATGTTGATATTTTGGAATCTACTTGGGTACTACCTATCAAAGGCCCTCTTCAGATTTTTAATAAACTAAACCAACAAAATCTAAATTTAGCTAACATTTATTTTTGCAAAAGTACATTTTAAAACGTCACTTAGTATTAGTATAAACATTTTATGGATACATTATAATAATGGACTGCAATGGACACAAGGAATATTGACAAAATTCATCATAGGCATCTATGCCGATATTTATTATCCATGAGGATAAAAGAACATTTAAATTTGCGCAGAGAAGGTGTTGCTAATTATCAACCAATGTTTGTTGTGCAGATGTTAACTATATTCAAGTTCCGGTATTAAAATACATTTTTGTAATAGAGGGTAATTAATTATGTACCAGGATTAGATGTAAAGTTCAAAGCCTATGGAGTTGTGGCATCAATACACCCACAATTTATCTGCTTTCTAGCATAATTTAGTCCTTACTCTTGCTCAGCATTATTATAGTAACCTCAGTGTGTGTGTGTGTGTATGTGTATATTATATATATATATATATATATATATATATATATATATATATATAACAAAAAACAATAATTATAATCAGTGGGATATAATCAGTATAATCATTATAATCCACCTTTAGCCTTCTGTATAAAATGAGATCACATGCTGAAAAATAAACATCATTACTCAGGATAAGAGATAGCAAATGGTATCCATGATGTCTGACAGTCGTAGAGGTATTTGCATGTAAATTCACTCTGGGAAACGTGGCAGCTAGGAGCATGGCCACTGGTCAACCTGTGAAATATGTAAGTGAGGTCTATATGCAACTAATACAAGATTATAGTAAGTTACAATATTACAAGCGTGTTTAAAATAAGCGCAGCTGCAAAAGAAATCAACGTTTACATATGTGATTAAAAATCGCAGCGCGTTCTATTGAGCGGCCACAACATACAAAATAAGGAGTACTAAAACGCATGAACCTATGCCACCTATTCAACCATCGAGGTTCCTGGTGATTCTAGTCACTAATCATGCCGAGAATGGTGGGAGGTCAAGGTCAGAAGTCAGTGCTGTCGGTAGTCAAAATATTGAGAGTTACAGCACAGAGCTCTACAACCAAAGGCGTACATAGCAGATAAAGCAACTTTCTTTTCTACTCAAAACAAAACATTTGATATACAATATTCTACCACAAAATTTGAAAATTCTTCTCTAAATCGTAAGGCCTGCTGCACTAAGACTACATCAGCCACTTCAATAATAGCCTACTCTACATTTCTTCGAACATTTTAGTTTCTCTACGCCGTCACTCTTACCGAAACATTTTAGGCTACCTTCCCTTGCTTTCTTACGTACTAGTGGTTTTATATATATGGCTTAACTTCTGTTCATTATAAGCCCGTTGTTCCTATGTGTTTTAGTTATCATTAACGCTATATTCAAACAATTATTCCATTATCTCTCCCCAATTTTGAATTATAATTTCCAAACATGTGTGCGCTCCAGAACGACTTAAATTTCTCGTCTTCTATCATGACAAGTTCCCTTTATATCAACAAGTCCACAATTTCTAGCTAGAAAATCATCAGCTATTAGTTTCTTCATTATCATCATCCCACGTGGACCGTTGGTCTCATTCCATCATAACCAACGCTAACTGTTCAAACCTTTGACCATCAATGCACTTCGACAGCAGCTCTTAGCCTGCTTAATATTATGCCCTTCATTACTAGAATATAATCCCGTTTTAAAAGTTGTATCAGGTATAACGAAGACCTTAACAGGAAATAATTCCTAACTTTAGGAGTCTAAACAGCTATTTTCAAGGAACCATGTCGTTATTTTAATGGCGGTACGAATACGAATTACAAGAAGATTGATGAGCGAGCTAGAGGACCCGGGTCGCCGCCTGCTGGGGTGCAGAGAGAGAGGTAGCTGCTAGCGCCAAGGGAGCATGACCTTCCTGGCAGGATGAGAAGCACATGGCAGGGTTTGCCACTGGCCAGTGTAACCCACCCACTTAGTTAAACCTGAAACGTGGCAGAACAAAAATATTAACACATTAAAATTATATTATATTATTATATATATTATATACATAAATATATAATATTTATATATAATCATATATAAATTTGTGAGGGTACCACTTCTGGTACAAGTGTAGGCTAGTGCTATCTAGAAATCCAACACTGTAACTCATCCTGTATGTACTTTTTCCTAATTAAACATAATAATAATAATAATAATAATAATATTATTATTATTATTATTAACTCACTCGAGGCGCGGCCATAGAGGACGGGACAAGCAGCATGGCGGGTGAGGAAGTCATGCTCGTGGGAGGCTAACAGGTTCCACCACAGCACTGCCGCCCTCTCCACCGCCTCCACGCCCACGCCCGCCCATGGGAATACCGTGCGCCCACCTGCCAAGACAACATCGTACAGCGTTAATCCACCTTTCCAACTATGGAAGATCTCTTCCGAGCGCATACCATTGGCAACATCCTAAATATACTTTGTTATTGACGGTATGTTGTACTTTCTTTCAAGTCCACTCTCTCCAATGCATCTAATTATGATACATCTCTTCATCTAGTCTGCCTAGGGTATGGGAAACTAAATTTATGTATACAATACGCAAAATGTAACATGCTTCACTTTTGATTGGCGCATTTCCATGGTCTGTAAGTATGTTACAGACTGACAAAGAACGCAGCGTTTTGTAAGCATATTTCACTAACCACTAATAGGATAAACAATCATAACTTTTAGTTTACTAATTATTTTAATATCAATATAACATAAATTATACCAGAAAAGTAGCAGACTCCACAATAGCAAGTGTCACAAAAGCAGACTTGGCCACAGCAGCGCACTTTGCCAGAGTATGACCCATACTACTACTGACCTGCAGCTGGAGCTTCCAGGTAAGTGAGGACAGTGGCCATCCTCTCCCCTACTGCTGGGTTGGGAGGACTCCTGGCAGGGCCATGGGTGTCCCGACGCGCCTCGTAGCTCTCTCCCAGGCCGGAGTCTGCCACCTGGGGAATAAACATGGAAATGTTCCCTAGATGTTTCTCTCATTCTACGGGACTATTTTCTATACCGTGTCTCTTACGTTGTTGCAAAACTGTATATGTGTATGTTCTCCTTTCATAAAAAGCAAGAACATGTAAGATTTCTCAGTGAGAAAAGATGTTGACTTGATATACTTCAACATAATTTATCGTGTATAGGTTTCTATACACATGTGTATTATACATGTTTATAATTATTAGACCCAATCTACAGATCAGTTGACTACAAAGATGGCTATTAAGATGAGAGAGAAACATTCAGCAGACGAAATTCTACAACAAAATATTTATATAAAGTATGTCTATATTACAGGAGTGTGAAGGCTTCGACTCCAAAGGTGTGGAGCCGTTAGTAGACCGTTTGTGTTCGTGTATAAAATCTAAAATGTATCTTAAAAACAGAAGCTGAAGTGCAGTTATTTTTTGTTTTTGTTTTTAAAGAATGTGTGTTGTTCTCAGACGTTCACTTCCCAGCACGACTAAAGGTGGTGTCGGTTCGTGAAGAACAGTGTAGGTGAGCGAGCAATATGAACAGCTGTGTATTCACGTATGATGATCACCTGTCCGTGGCACGCAGTGCTGAAGGTTTTAAGGTATGAAGTTTAAGAAATTCGCATGATTTAAATGCTATACTGGTGCAAGGTCTGTTCGGTACCGAGACAGTACACAGAATACACACACTCACTTGCCAGGTAAGTGACGCGACCCGAGATCAAACTCTTGGCAAGTTCAGACGATTGGGCACCATTCCTTGTATCCATTAGTACCTGGCCCGAGGCCTAAATCCCAATATCAAATAAAATTACTGGATATCTTGGGTGGTATACTAGGATCTGAAGAGAAATAGGGAGCATACTAGTCTCCATACACAACAAACATGTGGGTGTTGAGTACAGACACCAACACACGGCCCGAGGGTTGTCCGGCCAGTCATCTGGGAGCTTCACAAGCCAACTTCAACTGCCCCTGGGGCATGAGGGATGAGCTTGTAATAAATGTGACATGAAACACTCCTGTAAATAATGGTAGCGTTTATCGGCCATGCCATGCATAGCCCTGTTTAGAAATATAAATGTTGTATACACGGAACCTTTTATCAAGGTCTTACATCTAAGACTTCGACACGTTTAGATATCAGTGTTGACCAGTCTTACCCTGTAGGGTTCAGAGAGAGAGTCATGCAAGGTGACTCCCACCAGCTGGCTTAAACGACGTCCCAGTCTCTGGAGTGACGTCACCTCTCTTTCTTCCAGCCACGCACTGATAAGAAAGAACAATTAGAATATAAGAATTATTTAGCGCCGTGGCAGGTCTCTCCATAGTAGGCGGGTCCACTCACCACCATGTCTAAACCAACTATTCTTGGTACTTGTTAAACTGTATTAATAATGCTAGCTGGTATACCATTCCACAACCATATTCCTAGAACAGTACTTTACTGTATCTCTCCTAAAACTAAACTGGTCTACTTTACACCTATTACTACGGCATTGATCTGTTTCGACATCTTGAGGACCTTAATACCTATAATCTACTTGAAACCATCGATCATACAACCCCTTATCCTTTGTCTCTAGCAAGCGCAGACTTACCATATCCTCACATTCAGGTTAGAAAGCTAGAATCCTGTTGTGTATTTACCGCTTATATATTATTAGAATATAGCAATAATGCCCATAAATTATTACATTTGAAGCATTAACTCATTTAACTTGAAACCAATATAGAGCATAGATAAGTATCAAGGCTGGCAATTACACTCCAAGACACGTACTGTTTGAGCGACCACTCGCTACTAGGAGCATCGTGACCGCTGCCCTTCCTGGCGGTGTATGAGGTGTGCAACTGGCTGCTCGCCCTCTCCTTGACTTCTGCTGCCTCCCGCGGGCTCAGGACCTCGTAGATGAGCGTGATGTAGGGGTCGAGGGAGAGTTGTTCCACCTTAAAGGGTGCCAGGAGGAGCCAGGGGCTGCTGTTGCTCATGTACCGGCAGTGCAGCTCACATTTGATCACACTCGTCTGTTATTACGTGGCACTTCATACATATTTTAATTATAAATGTTATATGCTGTATTAAATACTTGTCTAGACAAAACAACGAAAACCAGTTACATCCCGTACACAAATCACAAAAAACTACTGTCACAATAAAACTTAAAGTTACCTCATTTTTACGAACATTTATACACATTTCAAAATACTTTCTCTAGCCCCTTACCCTGAGTTCGACGCCTCGACACAACATTTCTACCTGCCGCCGCTCCACCAAGGGGCGTTCCTGCACCATCCAAGTCTTGTTCCCATGTAGTTTCAGATACTGTACGCCCACCACTACGTCCTCTTTGGCGTTCTCCTCCTCCAGGTGGTGAACCCTCCCTTGCGAGAGTCCGTAAGACGTCCGAGCCGTTATGTGGGTCAGCGAGCGAGGTCCCCTCATCTCCAGGACGTGGTCATGCTGTCGTTATAGAAGGCTGCTGATGGGGCAGTAACTGGTCCTTAAGTTATGGCACTTACAATGCTTTCGAAGGCTGGTGGCTGTAATTGGTGACTGATTTTGCTTCTTCAATAACGAATTGTAAAAACATTTTCAGTAGAAACATTATTGAATCTGCTTTAATACAAATTACAAAATCATAATTTGAATACTAGTACTGGTTTGTATACACATTTATATCAATAATACCTTATTAATATCCTCTTCTCATTATTCTCTAATGTTTGTGAACAAAGACATTGTCATCTCACCTCATTCATGCCTATATATCCACACCACTGAATTGTAAATCCATCTTTCTGAGGAGGTATTATTAAATACGAAAGTACTTAATAAGGAAGGATGGATTCCAGAAGTAACTAACCGCTCCCCAGCTGAAATTTTACGTCTTCCCTGGCTACCACTAAAGCCAGGGAAGAAATTGAGTAATCAATTTCACAGAAATTATTGACCCACGCCCACGTCATTAATTAGTCATGTAGGAATTGATGGCAGCTAAGGAAGGTTTAAAATTCCAGCTGGGCAGCGATTAGTTGCTTCTGGAATTCTCCTACAAAAGGCTGTCTGTAGTACAGTTGATAGAGCTACCATTTCCCACTCTTGGGGGCTCAATCACTTGGGCTGGACGGTAGAACGATGGTCTCGCTTCATGCAGGTCGGCGATCAATCCCCGACCGTCCAAGTGGTTGGGCAGCATTCATTCCCCCCGTCCCATCTCTAATCCTTATCCTGACCCCTTCCCAGTACTATACAGTCGTAATGGCTTGGCGCTTTCCCCCCGATAGTTCCTCCCTTAGAGTCTCCTAGTGTCCAGGTGAATGAAGTGTGTATTATCCACGGTAGTGTGGTTGCCAATTTCATATATACATAAGTAACGGATGTCCCTATTATCTCATAGGCCCTAGGCACTGTGCCTAATGGATAATATGGCACTGGTTAACACCACAGTGCCCATTACTCACCACTCTGACGGCCGTGTTGAGCAAGCTGTCAAGCCTTTGGGTAGAGAACTGCGTCTCCAAGGACCCCCCGTCCGCGTGGGCGTGGATGGTCGACCTGGCTCTAGCTGCTCGCAGGAATTCCACACCAATGTTGAGGTAACCTTTGTTGACAGCCACCAGGCCGATGGACGCTAGGTCGCTCACTGAGGATTTAATACGTTTAACTCCCATACCAGAAATATAATTTCTGTAATTTAATAAACTAACTGGTTTACACCAGCAAGATACTGATAACTAATTATAAATAGCCTACATATGCTATACAAAGAAAATATTGTTATTTTTTTCTAATTATATGGATATCAACTCATAGCCAAAATTATTCTTGAGAGCAATACACGCTATCCGAGATATAATATTGTGCATATCTGTGCTATACTAGGCCTAGGAATATTTAGACTTGGTTTTAGGCTAATTTATTTCAGAGTCTGAAGTAAACAGTATCAAATTCTACTATATAATTGTCCATTACGCCAATGTATGTACGATGGTCAACAAAGTTATAAAAAGTACTAGCTAAACAGGAGAATGGGTTGGCTACAACATTGATCCTGGCCTCTGATCGATCTAGTCAAAATCGATAGGTTTAAGCTCCTGAAAAATAATTCCAGAAGGAAATCACTGAAGGTTAAAAAAAGGGAAAGTTATAGCTGCAATACATTTATTTATCACTTACGATTTAGTAATTTCCCTAAATTGAAAACCTAACACACATCAACATAATTTCCTCCATGGATCAATTGATACGCAGTATGCATATGGATTTTTCCCCAAAGGATAATTGGCGGTTCAAAATATATACAAGCCTAAGTTTTGCTTATACAAAAACGAAGGAAGAAGCCTATATACAGTTACAGCCCCGTTTCTGTGCCAGGTAAATCCATTACGGGCTCACCATAGCCCGTGCTACTTGGAACTTTTTGTTCCTAGTAGCTGAATCTTAAACAACAAAAACAACAGCCCATATACCTGCCAGTGGGTAGTAGGGAGGTGGTGCGGTGTTGATCTCCCTCTGGTGTGGGTGGAAGTGACCAGCCGAGGCCAGCATGGTCATGTTGAGGTCGTACACGTGGACAAGCCTCACCAGGGCCTCTGACGCCGCCGCCACGTCCTCCCCACTGGGCAGTAGCTCCCAGTCCGCCCTCGACGCCAGCACCTCTGCTCACAAATTACTCATACTAAAGTGTAAACCGGGAAGAAACTATTTGTATGCAAATACAAATACACAATCGACTTGAGAATGGTCCAGGACGGACCGAAACGTCGTCGTCTCTTCACCTTCTAGTGTGTGGTCTGGTCATCATTATTTGTATGCAATGTTAGTTATAAGTGCTATACTTTTGTGTGCTATCCTAACAATAATTAACAAAAAAATGTATGCCGTATTATGGTAGCTGCAAAAAATTAACGGAAAAATGGGGGAAAATACAATTTTACTGCGAGTTTTTACATTTCATCGCCTAACTGCCGACTAGCCAACTACGGTAATACCGCCGACTTCATTGGAACAATTAAAAGTGTTACAGAATTTGTCTACAAGCTTGGCGCTGAAGTGAACACATTATTTAATAACAAAGTTGCACATCGTGGTGAAATGCAAGGCTGTATGTAGGCCTAACTGTACTAACAGGACTCGTGGATAAAGCGATATTGATATGGGAACAGTCCCACTGAAAGTGACACGCAGGTCTGAAGAACTATTAGTTCCAGAAACTTTTTAAAATCACTCGAGTGGAATCCAGTCACAGATGTTGAGGAATACTGTAGTTATTGAAGAGGCACTATAAAAGGTGGTGCACTGTTAATACACAACCTCGCGAGCGATTTGGTCTGGGTTCGAATCCTGGCCCAGAAGGATTCTCTGGCCACCAATCCTTAAATGTTAGTCCCTGTTCACCCAGCAGTAACCTGGTACCTGGCTGTTTGGCTGTTAACCCATTTACCGATCGTGTTCCATGGAATGTTAGTGGGTAAGGCTTTTCATGCGTTATGGGAAAGGAAAGCTCTCTTGTTAAAAGTTATGGGAAGGGAAAGTATAAATGCAAACCGGTACTCACCAATATCGCTGAAAACTCCTTTAAGTTTATGTAATGCGCCGTTAACCTGAGTCCAGCCGCCTGCCACGTGACGCAGGAGGGAGTAAGCAGCTGCAGGATCGCCAGGTGGCGTCCCCGCGTCTCCACCTATTGCTTCCCACGAGTCCACGTACCTATAACGGTCAGACAATATTAGAGGCAATAACCGAGTATCAAACCAACGATCAAGACCTATTCGACGATCTACCAATAATATAAAATAAAATTTCATGAAGATTGTTTCTGTATAATTTCTGTGTAGGGAGCTATTAATTGTAATGGCTCCCTACACAGTATTCAAGAAAATTTGCAACAAAATTTATTATTATGATACTTTTTTTAGTATAATAACCTGTACACTGTCTCAAGTTATGGCCCCCTACATATTGCAAAAAGGCCCCCAGTTTGAGACTCAGTGGTCTAGACTAAGACTCAAGAGAATAGTTTGGCATCAAGAGGGCCTCGGCTTTTGCTTCAGATGAGTAACATGAGCAGAGTATTGCTCCTTCCTCCAGTTTAACAGCCAAAACTCTGGTGAAAAGAACTTCATCCATAAAATGGATATACCAGTACTGTACCACCGACATTTCCGGTCAGGGACTCTAATGTAATGGCCATTTATTAGGACATCCATAGGTATTTACGAGGCACTACCAATCGATTTTCTAACCTGGATTTGGTTTTCTGGAAAACCCGATCTCATTGATATCCGTGACCAACAAGACTTTATGGGCAAGCTCTTCGCATGCCTCGTGCACCATCTTGTCTGGTAGTCTGACTACCACCATGTATGGTTTCAGACTGGGGAGGAGTGGGAGGAATCGTCTCTTACACTATTCCGTTCAGGGGTGACAAGTAATTATCAATAGAAGGCACCAAACCGGGAAGGCTATGTAGCATTCAGGTGACAAATGCAAAGATATCCTGATGACGGCTTCCCTTGATTTGCGTGAAGTATTTTAACATTTTCCCATCTAGCTATGTGAACCACGCTGACAATATTGATGGCACCTTCTTGATTATATAAAAAGACTAACAGTTGAAATGATTTATTAATAATGAAAACAATCGTTTTTGTACTTTTGAATACAAATGTGACCAATGGCTGTGGTCCTGTCAATACGCACCCCAAATATATTAACTACTGGCAGTAACATTATTTTTATTTGTATTATACACAAATAATGACAATATCTTGCATCGTTGATTCCCACTCTTTACCCACAATATACAAAATTTACTAAATAATGAATATTTTACCTGCCTTTGTAATACTTCGTTCAGTTCATTAAAGGTATGTAGAAGGGTCCGTATTTGTTGGAGAGCATGTAGCTCTGCCTGGTGCAGGTGGTGTAGGTGTGTCCAGGAGGCGTGGCCGGCGCTCACCACGCCCACCAAGGCGCTCAACACCATCACGGCAAGTTCAACGCTCACCATTAATTACACTGCGGCTTTGCTACGGTCTATTTGGTAGTAAGCAATTGACCGTCTCCGGGCGAGTGCGCCCTCACTATGAAAGGTGGAAAGAGGATATTGATAAGTTCGTCCTCATAGTTTACTCTTTCATGTGTATGTAATGTACACAATAATAATTAACATTGTATCGCCACCTAAACCACACGGTACAGAACTATCTTTTGTCAAGCCACACGTGTTTTCCGTTATCGCTTCTTAAACAATAAAATCACACCATAAAATGCGTTTTAGCCACAAACACTTGGGCTCTACGCATACGCCTTGCTGTAGCACTGTCCAAACGCCACACACAGGAGGTAAGGAGAGGAAGTGTGCAGCAGACCATCTCCAGGTCCGCCCGGGGTTCACCACTGACTGCTCGCAGGTGTGTTCTGGTCGCCGGCGACACTTCATCCGCTACACCCACACACCTGCAGCCTTTATTTTATTTATATACACTAGATTTCTTACATTCTTGTTAAGCCACTAGCATATATATGGAATTTCAGAATTTTAATCTTAATTTTTCCTGGAATACAACCAGCCAAATCGTTTAACAACTTTGATGCTTTTGTTCAGTTTAGTAGTTTATTGCCCCCCCCCCATGTTCATCCTGTGTTGTAGTGGGAAAAGGTTACAGAAGCACGTAATGGGTTCTGTAAATGAACACCACATGTATTATTCGTTTAGCTAAGCAAGTATCGAGAACTTATCACAGAAAACCAAGTCTATTCGGTTTTAACCGACGTTAAAACTTAGCTACAGAATAAACGGCTATTTATTTTCTACCTTTAGATATGAATAGATGTTGAACACGGGATAAATATAAGTTAATATCCTAAAATATTGTGAGCGTACATAGGCTAGACGCCGTCAACCATCACCTGGTAACGGAACTGAATTGGCAAATATAAACGCAGAATGAGCACATGTGAATAACCTACTGACAAAGGTATATTATTACGTTTACACAAGACAAAGTTTAATTTCCTTATTAATAACCCACGTACTCAACTTGTAGGCGGTATCACATACTGTAATGGGTTCACTGATAACAGCTGAACAACCGAAATGTCAATTATAATGTGAAAAAGACCAGAAAAATGTTTATTGGAAGCATGTTACTAGGTAACTTAATACATGTATGGATGCTGGGCTGTTTCATGTGAATGTTAGATAAATGTAAGGAAACCCGTCCTCAAATGAAGTCCATTCATCCAGCGGTCGACCTTAAAGACGCATTCATAAATTTTAACATGCTCATTCAAAATAAGAATTTTCTCAAGTATAAGTTAATATTATATATTAGCATGCTGTGCATATTTAGGCATTGGTTAGATTACGTGTTTGGGTTCTGTTGGCGATTATTTGTAGTACGTGGGTGAAGCATACATCGTTGTGGTTCGAACAAAAGTCATCAGCGAAGCACTTGTTCTGGAAGTGTTGGGACGTCAATCAGTTTCGAGCCGTGTAAACCGTTTTTCATTCATAAACAGCAGGGTTGGTGGGTGTACAATCACTTTTGGCCTTCATGAGGACAGGCTAGCGGTTATGGATAAATATAGTTATAATTTAAAATAGTTTTCCAATATTTTGACTACTACACTTGTCACCAATACAGGTCTATAAATAAGAGGGTCTTCCCTGCTGCTTTTGTAGATTTGAACTAATGTTAGCCTTTTTCAAGGCAAAGACTGCAAATCTGCAAAGACCCTTATTCAGAGATATCCCTACCTTATGATGGGAATACGCTTTTGTCTTATTTGTCGAAGTCAAGCTCGGTACATATCATCCAAAGAAGCCGAATGGACAACTTCACTTTACAAAATGAAAAGTACATCAAATGAAATCACCATGAGGCAACAGTAGAGAATTTACATCATGTTGCTTATGTCCAAGTAGCTTATATAATACAGGATAGCCTACGCTGCTCTCTTGACAAGATTAAAGTTAATTTGAACAATCTTAAAGCTACCAGGTCAATTACGTTAGAAATACTTTGACAAAAATTCCCAAGGTTATTCCAGAATGTGTGTGCTGTTTAAATTAACTGCCAACACTGGGTAACATCACAAAAATCTTTATCATACAATGGTCATGTTAACTTCATATGGTTTGGCCTATGATCCCTAATTATACTTTATATACAAAATTACCCAAAATATCAGTACAGATAAAACTAATGTGTTCAGTACAGAATAAGTAATGTGTTCTCAATACCTGCCCATCACAATTTGTTAATTAAGTTCAAGCACTGTATGCACCTGCAACAGTATTTTGAACCTTTTTTTCCTGCTAAAACTTTACTGTAGTGACAAATTATTAAAATACAGTTGGATGAAAAATTTATTGGAGATTTAGGAATACATAAGACATACATATTAGGTCGACAAAAGCTTAAGTACTCCGAAAATAGACTTGACTTGTGTGTAATGTATGGTCTTTATACGCTGATGCTCAGTCACAAACCATTTTCTCCCCACAATCTACCATTCATGTATTGCACACAGTATTTACATGATTACTTCAGCATGCTGCCTTATCTCCTAACTTAAAAATAAAAACAATTCATATAAAAAATTATAATAGACATTATAAGTGTCCAGAAACACAGCTATAAGCTCTTGTATAATTAATTTTCCTAATTATTCATTCTCTACTGCCTCTTTCTTCTTTTTCTTTTTCTTCTTTTTCTTTTCTGATGACTCTACATCCATAGTCTCTTCCTTGACTTCTGGTTCCTCAGATTCTTCTTTGACTTCTACCTGTAGTTTCTTTTTCTTTTTCTTCTTCCCACTACTAGTCTGTGAGGTTTCTGTAAGGAGAAAGATTCTTGAGTTCACATTCAATACTTTGCACTTAAAAAAAGGTTGAGCTAGCAAGAATATGAATAAACTACTTTGCTGAACTTGGCACAGTCCATCCAAAATAAAGGATCATGTACAGGCAGCCTTCAACTTACGCTACAGTATTATAGAACACTGCAAGGCAACAGATTCAACATCTTAGGCATGTCTCCTCAAAGGAGCAAGGAGAACATCAGAATCAATTTGCTCATAAGGAAAACTTAGAGCAGTATCAAAACAATCCCCTCGTGAAAATATTTGAAATTTAATGCATTGACAAAACTAACACTTTGAACCTCTGCACCAGTGACAGAGGGATTGAAAAAACTTTAAATATGAAGCGTGTGATGCCATTTTGGCGATACCAAAGATCCAGTGTTTACCGGCATTGCATAACCAAGACTGAACATTGCAGGAGGATTGCTGACGGCAACATCTGCATGAAAAAAACACCATCACAACACAAAGCCAAAACCAGCAGTTAAACCTTTTAACTGGAGGAAATTTATCCCGACTCAGCAAGCAGACACACAAGGTACACAAAAACATTCCTGATGAAGGGTTACTGGCTTACAGGAACCACATATATAACCAAACCATTCCCATATTAAATGGTAGATCTGTATTCAAAAGTATCGAACCAAAATTACGATTGTAGCCTGGGCAGGTTTCAACATCTCGGCTGCTATTTGTCAGCATTATTTTGTACTAGCCAGGAGCAAGCAAAATATATTTGACATAATATACGTATATTAAAAAACCAAAAGTAAAATATATTAAAAAAAAAGTAATCTGTATACAAAAGTAAAAATAATATCAAAATTTACATTGCACAGTTAAGAGCTTATGTTGGCCCAGTAAGGTGTTATAGCCTTATCATATGAGGAGGAAACCAGAAGCTAAACTACAACTGACTCCAAATTATTGTGTGGCCTCCCCATGACTGATATGGAAACTCCACTTGTGTATTAGAATCATATGGGAAACACTTGCATCCAAAAACGTATCGTCACACGACGATGACTGCACTTTGCTTGATGGTAATTCCAATAACTATAACTGAAGTGAACTCACCTGGCTGCTCTTCCACAATTTCTATTTTAAGTTTCTTCGGTGGTTGTAGCTCATATGAATCATCAATCTTACGCTTGCTCGAGCTCTCTAATGTTGAATCCGCTGCAGCAGAATACTCTTTCACCTCACTAAGAAAAGAAACATCAAGTTTAGTATGAGGTTTCTTAACATATAGAGGCAACACGAACCAATGGGTAATAACCAATTTAGAAATAGGGTCATAGAAGTAGATTTATGGAACATATTACAAGTAACATTATAGAAATGGCAACACTGGATTGCTTTAAGCATAGGTTAGACTCTCATAAGAATGAGTTTGGGTGGATTTGGCACCACAAATAGGTGGTGCCTCATAAGGTTGCAATAACCTTCTGCAGTTTCCTTTCTTCTAATGTAAACTTACACCTAACATAGCCAAATCTTGTTGTGGTAATATGATTAATGTGCACAATTTTCTAATATATATTATACAGGGTTTCAACCAAGAACCCCTTCTAATGCGAGGTTAAAAAAATGAATGATTAAATCACAACTTATATAAGATGTAGATAGTTACTTTAATATCGGGTCATATCTCTCATTCTAAATATGGACACGGATCATAAACTGGCACTGCAGTAGGCCTTCTGCACGGTAGGTCCAATCTACACCCAGTTGCCTTCCCAAGTAAATTTCTGCTCCAAGCACAGCCTGTTGGACCAAGCTCTCTAGTCAAGCCTCTGGCCCCAAGCTGGGCACTGAGAGGCAGAAGAATTTGCAGAACCCCATCCAGGTTCATACATGTCACTATATATGAGCACCATATGTTTTAGCATATTTCATTAACTTGAGCACGGAATCTCAAACTGCCGACCCTATGAGCAGGAGGTAGGAGCTCTATCAACTATGCCACAGACAGCCTTATTAAGGAAGGATTCCAAAAGCAGTTAACCGCTACCCAACTAGAATTTTAAACTTTCACTGGTTGCCATTAGAGCACAGAGGAATTGGACAACCCACATCATATAAATTGCCAACCACACTTCCAATGAAATATCTATACCGTAACATCATTTCATTCACTTGGGCACTAAGTCTCAAAGCATAATTATTATACATCATAACTAGCATTGTATGCACCAATATTTGAACCTTGCACATAGTCTATCACAGTCAGGATTTCCTGTGACACTATTATTGCAAAATAATTGTGGTTATCTATTTCTTTATTATTAAGTGATGCTGTGGAAACAAGCTGCACAGAGGTGCTCTGAGCTGCTGCACCCATGGAAGCACTATCAATACCAAGGCTCATACATCCAGGAGGAATGCCCACGATATTTTTCAAGATAATGTCTTTACCGGAGGTCTAAGGAAACAAATGTGAGCCCCATGTGCACATAGGACTTTTAAATCTCTCACGGTACTTTGAATCTTCTCTGACTGACTCGCGAAATGAATCACAAATGGCAAAATGGCATGATCGTCCCCACTTGACTTGCGCATTTGAAGAGTCAAGGCCGTTCACTATGTTGACTAAACCACACACTAGAAAGTGAAGGGACAACGACGTTTTGGTCCGTCCTGGACCATTTTCAAGTCGATTGTGTATTCTCAAGCCGTTCACTACATTGGTCACTTTCCTTCCCTGACAACTCGCTTCCAAATTCCTCTTCTGGTTAATCACACATTCCAGGTATTAAACTTATGAACAATGATTCCATTACTTTCTGTTCTGAATTCATCCAAAACCATCTTCTATCTACATTAAAATCTACCTACTATATATAAGTATTTAAAATCTAACTACTGTATATAAATATATAAATATTTAAACATACACATGTAGCTTTTTCATTCTCTGCCAGACAAGCTGTTATCAAATTTAATTTTTTCAGATCACCGCATGTACTTATCCTTACTCCCTACTGCTTTATCCGATAAAACTGTAAACTCACAATCACCTTAATCATATTTGGTAAATCACCTAAGTTCTGGTTGTGTATGTCCTCATGAGCAACCATTAGGACATTTATCAAACAGAAATTTAAAGTAATTTTCCTTAAATCATATTCTTAGAGGACAAACTTTAATAAAGAGGACATAAATCAATACAAAAGTACTCTGTTGAAGCCATTTTGCAGCAGTAAAGTCCATAACGGCACACATTTAAATACTATACACAAAATTAATTAAAATATTTTCTTCAACTAACCTTACACCTTCATATTTTGCCTGCCTTGCCTGAGCCTTCCCAGTTCCAGAGATCTTGCGAGTGAATCCGCTTTCCAACATTGCTATTCTTGACGCCAATTTGGATCTGTTGTCGATACCCATGTCTGTCGTAGTTTCTTCTCCAAGCGCATCATAACGACAAGCGAGTGCTGCTTTAGCAGCCAACATACGAGACATCTTACCCTGTTAACAATTAAATATAATGCATTCAAGTATACATTTTAGTATTTTATAAAGGCAACAAACATACAAGAAATCTCACCTTATCAAAATTAACATGCTTAATGTAATGTTACAGAGAATACATTTAAATAGTGTCTATTATTAACTACCAAATTCAAGTTATTATGCACCCCAGTAACTACCAAATGACTATTTAATGTTTATCTCCTAACTAATAAATGTTTAATTTGTATTTACTTTCATACTCAAGACAATTTCAGTATCAAAGTGGAACACTGCAAACTTGACCATTAGCAGAACCCCAATGATTACAAATTTTTAAAATGTAATCAAATGCTAACAGTTATGGTTGCATTGAGTACAGAGGATAAGGTCAGAGTACATGGAGAGTGTTACATAAAAATGGGGGTACATCTGGGTAGTCACAAGTGAGAGAAGAAAACAATGAAAGGAATATTAGTACGAGTTTAAAAATGACTAGATACTGCACCCAGTCCTAACATATGGAAGTGAAACTGTTAATATGGTAAAGTGGCAAGTGTTAGAGAACAGGCAGATATTTTTTTTATAAAGAAAGTAGCTGGTGTAAGAATAAAACACTTGGGAAAAGGGCAAGGGGTGGTTATGTACATGCCTGTATGATGCCTGAAAATCATTTAACAAGATATAACAGTGTTAACTGAAAGGATCATATGGAAAAGAAAGGAGACGATTACCTTGGATGGGAAGAGTGGAACAAAAATGTGTGAAGGGATTAGAGGAAATGTTTTAGTAGCCATACAGCCCTTGGAAACATTTATTCTGAGAGCACTCCCTTATGGAATGCCTCCAGGAATGAATAAGGCATTACGGCTAGATTAGAACACATCACAGCTATCATTAGCCACTGCACTGTGCAAATGGTTTTGGCAAAAACTTCTTAGTGCAATTGTCAAGGACATATTTTTGTTCTTTTTATAAATATTCAAGTAAAGTTAATGTCAAAATGTTTCCAAACTCAACTACATATTTCCATTTCAAAACACAGAGTAATGAAACCATTAATATATAGCCTAATTAAAAAAAAATAGCAACTCTCAAAGCACCTAAAGGCACTTTGCATAATGAAGTGGTTAAGAAGGGTTTTAATCTTAAATTAAAAAAATATTAAGATCACCTAATTACCTTATTTTTAAGACTAGTTTGTGAAACTAGTTGGGCATGGTACAGGAGACCATATTTTGGTGTGGCATGTCTAGATTTTAATGCCCTGAAAAGTGCTTTCTCTGCACCCAGGATCTGGATGGTGGAAGCTGGGTGCTTGGCCAGATTGATCAGAGAGCCAGCATGAGCTATCAGACGAGCACCCACTAGCTCACCAACCAGGATGGTGACATTAGGGGCAATAGCCACCATTCGGTTTTTTAGATACTCATAAAGTTGAGCACGATATTCCGTTAACTCGAGCACCTGAAATGAAATACATAAATACAAATATTAAAGCATCATGAAGATACAAATAGATGCAACTATATACACAGAGGAGGGGGATTTATACAAAATACACATTTACACAGATTATTGCAGATTATACGGATTTATACAAAAAATATATATAGTAAATTTAAACTTTAATAGATTAGTGCTTATTACCTGTTCACACAAATTTTTTATATTTAAAATATCTTCTTCTGCAACTTCAGTACCCATCGAGACTTCAGCTGCTTCTTTCACTTTTTCCTCTATTTCCTCAGGCAATATTTCAGAGAAGTCTGTATTTACAGCTTTGTCTCTGGTGCCTGTGAGACAAGGATACATACACTAATTAATCACTGTAGTTACATGAGTAAATATAATGACCATGCAAAACTTGAAAATACATTCAATAACTGAAATGAAGCATATAAAAAAAAAATGCACGTAATGGCTTTAGTGATTTCTAAAAATTTGATAAAAATATACCAAAAGTATATAAGCAATAATCTTATGTCTACTATTTTAACACTTTGGCTGATCTAGCAAGGTGAGTGATCCTTGTCCGGTGAAAATTTGTCACAGAATCCAAGTAGTTCTCTAATATGTGGTTGGTTATATCCAGATAGATTACCTGGTATAATATTATTGTTTGCTTTTCTCCATCTTAGACTAGGCAAGTTGAAGTCACTTAGAAAGATAATATCAGGTATTGGGTTTGCCAAATTATCAAGGTTATTCTCTATTTTGTTTATCTGTTCTGTGAATTCCTTAGCTGTTGCATATGGTGGATTGTATATTAGAATAATAACCAAGTTTATTTTCTCTTATTTTTGTCTGAAATGATTTGTCAGACATTTTAATTATTTACTTGGACCAATATATTAAAGGTTCATTACATTACTAAAATGATCATTTGTTCTGTGAAGTCAGAACACACATACAAGAAGCCTGTATATATATGTGTATGTGTGTGTACAAATTCCCGTGGTACAAATGCCCACGTACAGTATTGTATAAAAGGATATATTTAATTTTCTTACAACTTGCTAACCCTTTGTTCATTTAAAACTAGAAATATAATTTATGTTAGTGAAACAAAAAAAATCTGTTCTTACCCATTGCCATAACAGCACGGATATAGGCCCGATTATCAGTGATAATCTTACCAAGCTCTGGGAAATGCCAGCCATACCATTCTCGTGCTCTCATAATATAGTTATTCAATTCCTTATCAATGTCATCAAGAAGGGATATGGCTTGCACTATCATGGTGTCCACTTTATCCGGAGAAAACTTGAGCTTGTATCGTGCCAGACTGCAAAAAATCGCAAACTATTAGTAAACAGATTTGGAGACTCGGTTGAAATTATTTAGTAGTTTTTGTCTAATGCATCTGTAAATAATGTTACAAATTTAATAGTAGGAAAATGATCTGGTTTAACTTCTAAATGAGAAAATCTTTACTAGAATTTTTAAAAAGTTCTGCTTCTCAGTAAATCTAAAACCTGAGCCGGAGTAAAATTATAACCTCATAGTGATATAGGAAAGGTTGGGTTGGGTTAGATGGGATCTTGTTGGGTTGCATTAGGTTTACTTAAAGAGTAGCAATGACGATGTATTTTTTTCCCCCCCAAGGGGCAAGTTTATTGGGCAGCGCCACTCATCCTGTGAGTGAACGTATCACCATGACAGCATGTACAACACCCCCAACAGGAAGAAAACCTGCGATGACGTAGATTGGTGAAAACTGTCTCGGGTCTTAGAACCTACTCCTAGGCAATCAATATCAAGTTTATCTACAAAAAATGAAGCAGAACACTTAATGATTCAATATATAGCACCCTACTGTGAAGGGAACCAAAAACCAATATTCAAATACAGTACCACATTTATTTTGCCGTTACAATACTGTATTTCTAACTTATTTTTACATGCCATTTTGAAATGTCATATGTTAAAGATATCCCTTAAAACATTATATCATGGATATCCTCAAGTGGTAATCAACATAAATACAACACTATTTACTGCCAAAGCTGTCAAGCCTGTGACACTTAAATGCATGAATCAATTTTACATAAAAATTTCTTAAAAGTACAATCAGGCTTTCAAAATAATGAGAAACTAAGTAATAGTCTTAGCAATTAATACATTAATATCCTAGAAACAAACTTTAAAATTATATTTTGTGAAAAAAATCCAAGTCGTCAAATTGGACTTACTTGTGACCAAGACCCAGTGACATAGCAGCCAGTTCCTTCTCCTGCAACCCAGGAATGAGACCTTCCACTTGGGACTTAATACATCTCATCAATTCACTCACACTGTTGTTGCTCACACACTGCACACCTAGTTTGTCCTGAAAATACACACACACTATATTTAAAGATAGAGAAAAAGTAGCCTTTAATAAAATTACCTAAAATTGTACCAACAGTATTCTAAATTCAAGTCTTTCATTAAACAGTATATTTATAAAATGTTATTAAAATCACATACAATGGATGGAAGCCATGACTGACAAGAGTGTTATTAAAAATATTTATGGGCTTGTACACGTGCATAATTAGTGATGCACTTTGTGTAACTGTTGTCTTACTCTGGGTCTACCTTATTTAAATTTAAAATATTAAATTTACAATTTTAATTAAAATTTCAAATAAATTTGAAAATTAAGTTAAATTAAAAATTAAATTAAATTAATATTTAAAATTAAATAAAATTTTAAAATTAAAATTTAAAATAAATTTGAAAATTAAATTTAAATTAAAAAAATTTAAATTTAAATTAAAAAAATTTAAATTTAAATTTAAAAATTTAAATTTAAATTAAAAAAATTTAAACTTAAATTAAAAAAAAACCTGCAGTTGCACATTTCTTGTCTACTATTAAGGGCATATTGGTGCATGAACACTATATTATTTAGGTCTATGTGATCTTTCCTAGTTTATCTTTAGTATCCATAACTATGCTGATACAGTATATGTATAATGTGAAGGGCTCAACAGTATTATTTTACCATGGCAGCAAATTTTTTTAAAATGTTATTAATCACACATCAATTTGGTTAGTGTTATTAACTTCAAACTAAAGAGCTTTTTTAATTGTACTCTTTCCACAATTTAGAAAAATGTCAATTCGCTTGCATTATGAATTTGTCTCCAGACACGTTAGGTCTATACATGTTATACATGAACTGAAAGCCCATTAAAAATAAATGAGGACTATTTAACATCCTAGATTATTTTTCAATTATTACCAAAGACATTTCCAAGTTGCACAACAGACGTACCTTGATGGAATTTCCAAGTTTAGCATCCCATACCATCAGCTGCTCGTGTGATACCTCTGAAAACACCTTCTTTAGGAGTTTCTTCAATGGTTTACATATTTTACCCTCATTCAGTGCTACTCCTGCTTGCAGAGCATCAGCTGAATCAGTAAATTTCTTGAATTCTTGAAGCTGAACACTAGGGAAAGAAAAAGTGCCATGTTAAAGAAAAAAAAAACTAAATAAAAATTTAAATTAATCTTCTTACCCTTCATTTATCTCCAATTTGCACAGTACAGGTAATAGGAAATGAGATTTCCTTTATCAAACTATTAAAATTAGTGCTGTAAAGCACAGTATTAGTATTTTGTTCACCAATTTTATATATCAAATATTCATAATTTCTAGATAGTTATTCCTGCTTATACAGTACATGCATGACCATAGGGCTACATGTAATGTTCAGTTACACAGTTAACACATACATGAACTTTAATAACAGACAGGTAGGTCTGGCCACCTGTAGTACAAGATCAAACTACGGCCACAAATTTCCAGAATGCCTCTCAATATATCACATGTATACGAGTTAATATTGTAAATATCCACACATAAGAATTTAGCATATATATTTGTAACCTGTACACAAGTGTTTGAAGAGTAGTCTATTAAAGAATAACTGAAGATATTACAACAATGCAAAGTGAAAATTAAAAATAGAAAATTCATAGATAATTATCAGAAAATGTCACAAAGTATAATAATTAACAATACAGCAGTCTAATACTTACATTTTACTGGCTTGCTCAGGAGTCTCAAAATCTTCAAAGAGATTTTCCACCTTGTGCAATTTCTTTTCGTCCAAAAGCTGTAATATGAAAAAGTAAATTCAGTCTTCATACCCTCTTAAAAGTTAAAATTATTTAATATTAGGCTTCATACACTAAACTGTACACTCAGTAACTAGGAATCGGCTCTCATACACAACATGCTCACTGCCCAACATGAACTTAGTACTGGCTCTATGGCTCTCGACTCTTGCCTTCTCAGTAAATGCTCTAAACTTTTTAAGAAACATGATCTAACTTAGCTGCATTAGCCCCTTTAGGCTCTCTTCTTCCATTGCTAAATATTTTGTCAATTTCACCTCACTCTTTGGCATTAGGCATCCTACAAGCCTTTCCTATTAACTGCTATTGCATATTTCAACCTTCTAATATCTCCTCACATTCACTTCACCTTTTATAAAAGCCTAAATCTCAGGTTCTTATAGCACACATTTTGTATGTAAATATATACAGTACATGGCAGCCTCCTCCATAATATTTTCAATAATTAATGAAATTGAATTCACACATTTTGACAAAGCTCATTTTCCTATTGTAAAAATAATTTACATCATTTGAACCAAGCATCATTTTTAAAATCCATTAGGAAACTTGGGTCCAAACTGACTTTTGCATTTATTTAGCCTGGGTTAGGCTAAATAAATTAATATTTATTTAGGCCTAAATATTTATGCCATGGGTTAGGATTGTTATAAGTCACATCATACCCGACCAGGCTCTCCAAGAGATTATAAAAACTACTTAACCTTACCCAACAATATATACGGTTTTAACTTAAAACGATAAGAAAAAAAGTCGAAACGACATTGTACGAAGCCCACAACATCCATGGCTCTAGCATAACCCGTGTAACTTACCTGCATTTACCCGAGGGGCTACTATCTCTAGTGGCCAGGAAGCCCACAGCTTGTCAAAAGTCCCTCCCATTTGTCCTGATGATTTGTATCTATTTCGATCTTAAAATTGTATCAGGATTTTGGCATTTACGGCATCGGCAGGTATGCGGTTCCAAGGGTTTATTTGTATTTTTTTTATACATACAAGAGTTCTTACACTCTTGTACAGCCACTAGTTCACATAGCGTTTCGGGTAGGTTCCCAATCCTAATTTTCCCCCGAATACGAACTCACTAAATCATTTAACAACCAGGTACCCATTCACTGCTGGGTGAACAGAGGCTACAGTTAAGGACTGGCGCCCGGTCAGGATACGAACCCAGGCCAACACACTCGCGAAGCACCGGGTGAGTGCTTTACCACTGCGCCACTGACTGTGCGGTCATAGCCCCCCAGGCTGATCACATTGCTCTCTACACTACCAGTAACATGTCACATATAGATACTGTCCTTAAAAACATTCCCCCATATTGCACCCGCAAAATAACGTTAAGGTTTTAAGGGTTGCGAAATGATATTATTATTATAGTTAGAGAAGCTGTTCCCTTGAGAGTTCCCAGGTGTGTCTGGGTACATCTTGAGATGATTTCGGGGCTTTAGTGTCCCCGCGGCCCGGTCCTCGACCAGGCCTCCATGGGACAGCATCAACAACAACCCAGCGGGTTTTCTTCCTATTAGGGAGTGTTGTACATTCCGTTATAGCAGTGTGTCTATAAGATAAGTGCCGCTGCCCAATAACCTCACCCCCTCGGGGGGGGGCAGAACTTACAAATTTATGAGCCACGGACTCCGGGTTCCCACTAACAACACTTCATGTTCTCTCTTAACAACAACACATGTCTAGCTGAAGTATGATGCCCCAAATGAACTCCCAGACGCACAGTTACCTTAAAAATAGCGAAGCCCGCCGCGGTCTCAAATAAGACGAGCATATTTGTTAAATGTGGAGCGGCAAGGGAGGTGGTCGCCGCCTCACGCCGTCACCACGCGGTCACTGTCGACCCTCCTCGCTGCCTCCTCCGCCACCCTCGCTCTCTTCACACACACTATATATATTTAACTTCTCTCTATTTTATTACAAAACAGAAAGGCACTTTCAGTTTTACGTAATGGAATGTTATAGATAATGTTTGTTTCTTAAATGAAACAAAAATATATAATATTTCAGTGGAGTAGAAAGGAAAGGAAATTTTCAGTGGAATGAGATCCAACTAAAAATATGAAAATAACTTTTCTTTAACTTTATTTTTCGACATATTGATGTGTAAACCTAAGCTTGTTAATAAAAAAATCAATAAACACGATCTATAAGACTCATTTTTCCTCTAATTTTATTTTTCAGTAAATATTAATCTACTTGTTTTCTTATATAATTTAACCGGTCGCCCAACATATCAAATATCTATTTAACGCACTGTAAACAAAAAAAAATAATTCATATTATTTCAATTCATAATCGGGGATACAGGGTTCAATTCCCGGACGAAAAAGAAATAGTTGAGCAGGTTTCATTTCACCTGATGCCTCTATACACCCAGCAATAAACAGGTCCCAGCGGGATAGGCAAATGAGACAGAAAGATAAGAGAGAGACAGGCAGGGAGCCATGTTGCTCCAGTACACGAAAAAAAAATTCGTCATATAAATACAAATGTTTATTCAAAAGAATTTGTGTACAAAGAATATAAGAGTAATGACCAATTGAGCTTGAAACCGTTGCTCATTGTTCATGTTACATCTAACCTTTTGAAGAAGTCTGGATCAACATCCTCCAAACTGTTTAGTATTTTTAAAGTTTCAATGAGATCTGCTCTGTCATGTCTGGTTTGCAGTGTTGTTAGCCCTGTGGCACCTTAACCATTCTTGGAATGTCGGCTTAGTTCAGGAATGATTCTAGTCATCCGGCACTGAACTTTCTCCAAAGCAGATACAGTATTTCTTTCTGAATATGAGGTCTCCTTGCTTGGATACAAAAATCCACGTGGGGGCACACCAGAGATTTAACACAGTTGCACAACTACCTTCTTTTCCTTTAAGTCAAAATTTTATTTGTCTATTTCAAGGAATTGGTTTCCTTTTTTACTGCAGTTCCCACTTGCTGTGCAAGTTTCAGTGATTGGTGGATTCTAACTCTAAGGTCCTTTCCTTCATCAATCTGCTGCAAGCTAATGTTGTAGATTTGGTAGTTGGGTATATTATCTGCATTGGTTCAGCCCACATGTTGCCTGCATTGATTTATTCCCATATATCACTTGTATTGATTTATCCCCATATATTACCTGAATTGATTCAGAACATAAGAAATATTGCCAAAACAAAAGTGCATGTACAGCATTTAGACATGTTCCAGCAAGATATAAGTTCAGTAAGAATCAAAAGAATGCGCCAAGCCAGCAGACTATGTAACATTGTCATTCCTGAAAGATGTGCCAGACCAACCAGACTGTAGTGGATGTCTGGGCCTCTGAGCAACAGCCTGTTGGCACAAGTTATCAAAAATCAGGCCAGGCTTGCAGAGTAGAACTCCCAAAACCAGAAATTGGCACCCATAACATAAGGCACTCGGCCATCATCAGCCTCATGTTTTTCCTGTTAAAAAAAAAAAAAAAAATATGTCTTTTTTTCTAAAGAACATTACTAAAATGTATGCTAGAAAATGACAAAATTAGAAGAAAAACAAAGGAGAGAATACACAGATAAAGCTTTGCAATAGAATATATTTTATTCTAATCTAATTTAAAACTCCAGCCTTTCTGTCCGTACATACTCTAAGCCATCGCTAACCCCTACTACACCATAATCACTTAACCCTTAAGCGTTCAGGAGAAATGGTTTGATGGCCATTCCAATTATGTGTGAAACACCATCATTATCCTTGTTCCAGTGTTCACTATATTTGCTTTTGATTTTGCTGGATCTCAAAACACATGGTTTACATACTATTTTTGCCTTTATTGTATCTTTTTAATGATCATTGTATTTCAGTTATCTTTTTTTACAATAACGTGTACAGTATGTCATTTTGTGGTCATTTTCTTTTATTCTTTCAGTCATATTTGTCGATGCAAGCAAATGGCAACGGCTTCACTTGTGAAATGCAATATTTACTCAAAATACAGTACACTACACACCGTATTACAATTGTAGAGCAAATGAACATTGCGCATACATTAGTCATAATGCTTCAGTGACAACTAAATTAGATGTAGGTTTCTGGCATACCGTATTTATCTAAACATGTTTTAAATACCTTAAGTTATAATGTACTATGTACTGTAATTAGATACTGTATATTAAATAATGCTCTGATAAATTTATTGAAGATTCCGATACAATTACGGCTTCGATATTGGCTCTCAAAATGCATTTCTATAATTGCGTATTTTGTTTTTACCATCTTATGAAAAAAACTTTAAATACACAGCACAAATGGAAACTAACTGACAATAGTTACTCATTTGTTCATTACTTTATAAATATTTTGAATATCTTGCAAGTAATCATAAACGCCAAGAAGTGGAATGACATTAGACATCACATGTACCAAGATCATGCTACGTTTTTCCACAACCACTATTATTACCATAGAATCTATGTAGGCTAACACCCCTCCCCCTCCCACTCTTTGTTAGATAAATAAAAGACCAACCTCAATCAGGTAAGTTAGTGAAATATTTACATCAACTTTGCACACATTAATTAAAACTGCATTCAGTATTCTTCTTTATTTTTTGTTAACTAAAATACAATAAATATTATTAAAAACAGACAAGCACCCTAAAATATTAAATCCTAGTCATATGTAAACACTTCCATCAGTGTGTGGGGGGAGGGGGAAGGGCGTTTGTGCTTATTTTCGGTTTGCAACTAACATACAGACTCTTCATAATATTATTTTCTCTTTCAGTACAAAATAATCTATAGAATCTAGCTAGCTACAGGAAGTCAACAATGTACATGCAAACTCAAGTGCACTTTTTTTCTTTTCACAACTTTCAAACATTCACAAAGGGAACAAAATAAATACTTTTTCATACAAAAAATTTAGGGTCTATCTTTAATATCAAAATGCAGAGCAGCCCCTTGGTCACTCCTTGAGCCAAAACTGGATCTACCCATAGTACCATAATCTCATCAGCTTCTGTTGACCTTTGTCCCATGTGACTAGTGTCTCTTGAAATGGTCCTGCCACCTTAGTAATGTAGGAAGACCTAAGGGATAGATCAATGCACTATCAAAGAAGAATGCTTGCCATGACACCGCAGAACAGAAATAAAGACGACACCCCATCTGAAAACTAACAACAAACAAAGAGTGGCAGTTAAATCTCTGCAAATTAATATACATGTTAGTTTACTTGTTAATCTGACTGCCACTAAATGGCAGTCAACCTTACGAATATAGATCAATACACATTGGACTTTGGTACCCATCCAAGATAACATGTTCTGTCCAGAAAGAACGTGGGAAAATGTCCAGTTGAAAGTGAAATCTTTCAGGGTTGCAGTGCAACCATGGAAGATTTAATACTGCAGGGAACAGCCCTGAGATATTGGTGCACAAGCCAAGAAACAAAGTAATAACCCCTTCCCCATCTCCCAGGCACATATAGTAACTAGAGGACTGAAGAACACACTCTGGAACCCAAGTGGGAAAGCACGTTCGGACCCAGATAGAACATACATACCTGGAATTCGGAGTACCCTACAAGAAGCCTGAAACCACACATGGGAAGAGCCATGTGAGTACCAATGGACACACCAAAACACAATGCCAGAATCATGGAAAACATCTTTAGTATCACCCTAGGGGATCAGGGAAAACCTGAAAAGCATGCCAGGAGAAACAAGGTATACCCCCGACACCCAGGAATACATCCCAAAACCTGGGAAGTCCACATGCAAAACATGAGTGGAAAATCAGCAAGCAGTACCAAGGAAACCTGGGAAAAAATGAGCCTCTGATTTGGTAAATGTATCCATGAAGCATTCCTACCAAGTCAAGAAATCCACCCAGAAAAAACGAGACACCTAAAGCAGGGGGATAGCACTGATAATGCCCCCCGGGTAAGATAGTAGTAGATTGCATGCTACTGCGGAAACACATGCAGGAATAAGTGCAAAGGACCCAATGACAAAAAAAAAAAAAAGGCCCGTCTTCAGCAATCATGACCAGTCATACTCCTACCAGGGACAAAAAGAAGGGGCAGGAGTACTCAAAACTGAGGGGCCCCAAAGGACTGTCCCAAACATAGGAAGGCGAGACAGAAAGCTCCATGTCAAACAGACCCTAGGGTCATAAGCAGGCGGCAACAAAACATCAGCCAATAGTCCCTGCACAACCATAGGTAACGAGAGCCCTCAACCAAAGGAGTTAAAGTAAAAAGTCAAATTGCACCATGCAAGCTGGTGCAATGGACAAAAAAAAAAAAAAAAAAAAAAAGCATGACACTACCCCTGTTAAACTTGAAGAAAGATCCATGAGCTAGAAGCACAGGCCCTTTGGTATTATAGCAAGCAGTTCGTTTGGTGAATTTAGCTGTCACTTTTGTCTCTACTTCACGACCGAGGCAGCAAGAGCATTTGCAAAGATATTTGGCACCATGGAGCACATATCAACAGAGCCTGACAGGATTTTGATGTTCTGGGGAGGGCCAGGTCTTGGCTCTGGGAGCTCAAATTTTAAACCTGATCTAAATTTCTTACGATGCCTTGTCTTGTTTGCTTCTCATGATAAAATTAACAATTTATTTTCCATAGCCTTTATGATGTTTTCCACACAGTACAGTATAACCCAGCTCTGTAATAAGAGATTTTTGTATTTTAATTATTATTTATTTAAAGTGTGCTACTCATTTAAATTGAGAAAATTAATATTGGGATTCCTTTGGAAATTATGCGCTCGTTCATTCATTACTACAAATACAACAGCAGTCTTTGTTACACAACAGCAAACATGTGTTCATGTGAGATCAGAACAATGTGCTTAATTCCAAACTGAATTTATTGTGTGTCATGGTTTGATGAATCATTTTAATGTAACAGTGATTAAAGTGAATTATGAAATAGTGTGTGAAAAAGAGACTTTATTTCACTTATTATTTGGCTGCAGTTATTCTAATGCATAATTTTTCTTTGCCTACTCATTTACAAATATCAACACTACTTTTTGCACAAATATAATGGTGACCAAACTTCACATATATCTCCCAGTTCAAAACTTTTTAACACCTTGGACAGAATAGTTATTTTTAATAACATTAACAATTACAATGGTTACTTTATAACCATTATCACCACCATCATGGTTAAAACTAACAAATCACAACAAAATGGAACCGGGATATAATGGACACTATTGTATTACAATGAAGAGTATAATTTAGTTATTGAACTTATAAAATCTGAGGAGCTTTCATACTTAACAGAAGACCTTCCACATAGGCCCTCAGTAAGATGTAAATACTGTACCAAATTTGGACACTGACACATGGCAACAAATACCAGGAAGTCGATTGGTCAGTCCCAGTCACCCATGGAAGCACTACTAATACAAAATACAGGATATAGATTGATAAAAAGAGTTTTGTCCAAATGTCTACTTTACTGACTATTCCCTTTTACTTTGACACATGCAGCAGTCTTACTGTGTGATCTGCCATGTATTCTAAGGTTTAACAATACAGTAACAACTGCTATAGCAATCAAACATTGAAGTCATATTGAGTATATCCATAAAATTTGTATCAAGTGCTGGTATTAAAGTATACAAGTGAACAGAAGAAAATAACTGCAAGAATAAGTGAAATACTATAAACTGGCCATTATAATGCTAGGCTGAACACACATGACTAGGCAGAGCCAGTGTGTAAGAACATCTAGCAAGTAAATCGAGTCTATAATAATATGAATCACAAAAAATTACCCACAAACTTATTTATTCAAGTTAGCAGTGTCAGCGGGAGGGGCTTATAACCGCTAAGTGTTAATTAGTTTTGGGCTAGCATGAAAATGCAATGTTTTCTGTGCTTCATGGCCACTAGCAGCTTTTCTACCATTGTTAAATAATATGGATTCCTCATTCAGAATATAAAACAATTACCAATCTTGTTACACATTGAAGACTTCTATTACGAGAGACTGCCACCACAAAAAAAAACTATTTCCACAAAGAAATCACAATAAAACATTAGGCAATACTGTATATTGTACCATTAAACAAAATAGTTCTGAACAAGATGGTGACTAAATTACATGTAAACAGACCAACTTTATATCAAAGTAATTCACCATTCTAAAAAATTATACCCGATGCAATTATATTCCCTTCTTGCCATCTATTAAAAATAAATTGGATGAACATTCAATATTATGAAGAGTGAATGTTGTATACAGGAAGATAGACGCATCTGTAAATCTAACAAGACCATAAAGGATTTTCATTAAAAATTTTGCCTAAAAATTCTGATATCAGTAATTCATATATACTGGTATAAGTGTCAATCATTTTAATTTAAACAATTTACCAAATTATACTTGATCACTTATGAAATGCATAAAAATTTAAAAAAGGGGGATAGAATTTTGAGAATATATTTCTATGATAAAATATAAGTACCGGGTAATTTTTTTTTTTTTTTTGGAAGTACTGTACCTGCAAATTTATATCTTGACTTTTACTAAATGAGTACTTACTTCAAAATAGTGTTGAGAAAGTACAATACAGCCCTTATGTAATCTAAATTCTATATCTAATTTGATTATTTCTTCCATACTGTACTTCAACTAAATTTTGTCTAATATATACTGTAGTAGAACATAATGTAGAGCTATAAAACAAACCATTCCTTCAATTATCGCCAAAATTGAATGATGTCTCATCAAATGTTCTAATGTATGCCAAAATCAATTCATACAATCCTGGTCTGCAGTGTATATATATATATAATTACTTATATCTATTCACTATATTAGTACCCTTTCCCTCTGGACTCACGACTGCCCCCGCATCCCTTGAAAATGAGAAACAGAATAATGATAATGGCTGGATATTTACTTATGGCTTCCAAGATATCTTTAAACTAAGTCAACAGTAGCCCTATATTTAACTTTCCTTACAATACTATACACAGGCTTGAATACTTTAACACTATGTACTCTGCCTCTCATCACTAAGCCAATGAAGTATCCTGCCTATACAGTATATATTAGTTACTCGTACTACTAACTCGGTCAGTGCAATTTAATTCATCCTTAAAATATTAGAGTTGTACACCATACCTAACAAAATTATAAATGTAAGAATCATTCAAACAAACCCTATATTTGTTATTGAAGTTAATACTATGATAAATAATCAAAACCTAATATATTACCAACTTAACATTTTAGTCTGTAATGAACTTTAAAATGAAAATTAACTTCAAATTTAAGAATTTTTCCCCATTTCAATTTAGCTCAGGAGGCAAAATGACACTCGGTCAACATAAACACATACTGGAATAACCATATTGCTGCTTAAAGCTTACTTAGATTTATAGCACAAGAATATTTTTGCAGGTTGGCGTTCCATCTCCGTTGGTCCAAGAGATTGGACCCCATTCCTTCCCATAGTTCTAGCCCAGCTTCTCGTCCTCACATCCCTTAAAAGTGCTATATACAGTAATCATACTGGCACTTTACCTTACCTTACCAGCAAGTCAAAAGACATACAAGTTTAAAAAATACACCAATGACCTGATCAAGTTTAGGATATCATTAATAAAATGACTTCAATTTGCTTAAATGATAGGCAGAAAAAATATATAACTACAACAGTCTTACTTATAATATAAGCTTACACAGACCATGAGGTGATAGTGAAGAGGCAGTGTAAAAATCACAATACCATATTTGGTATGTACGTACTGTTATATGGAAATGTCCAATATAAAATGGGAGTGAATATGGTAGTCGTCTGAAAGCTGGGTTTATGTGGAAGGTGACTGAAAAATACACGAAGAAACACGCCAATAAATATCTTACACTACAATAGGCAAAACTTGACAACAGTTAGCACATACACCTTAAGTTGATCGAATCCCATTTCAAACAATTATCCCCGCACATTCCTGCCCAGTGGAGGATGGATTCGATCACCACCTTGAGGTCTCCAACCATTTGCATGAAGGTCAAGCGTATCTTGTGTTAAAAATCGCAGTCTTGGATTTAGGGTACCATTTTCAAGACAATTTTCTAAATAGGTGCAACTCTGATTTACTAATTCCTGCAAGAAAAGAATAATTTATTTTATAAACAAAACTAATCAATATATAGTAGGGGTATGGATCAATAAAAAAAATTTAAGTCTGGTATTCATTTATACACCTGACACACTAAACACTTAAGAAAAATTAACAAATCCACAAGGGTTTGAGAGAGGCACAGGTTATTTGCTTGTGGTTGGAACTGTGGAGGGTGTGCCCAGTTTAACAAATGATGCAAATATGGTTACAGTACTATACAGTACATCAATTGTATATGAATGTTATGGAATTATGGAATCGAGTTCTAGACCGTACCACAAAATTCTGCCGTTTTTAATTGCCGACTATTGGGAAAGTTATTTCATACCACGAACAATGCGATTATCATCATATCACACTTTAGCGTTTCCTGTCTGAAGTGCCTATGTTTGAATCTATTTCTGGGTATCACTACCAGGCAGAATAGCAGCAAAGGGGTGGGTTTCATGTAACAACCCCTGAGCTGTGCCAGGAACAAGAGAGACCGGTAGGTCACTGTGTCAAGTACCGAGTATTATTTGAGACGGAACTATTACTACCCTGCCTAGAGTTGCACAGAGCATGTACCCAAGATGCATACAATATGAAAGTGTTATGTACCAACTCTCACAAAACTCCCCATGAGAGAATCGCACATACACAAGAATAAATACACACAGTAAAACTACTCAACGCTCATGATCAAAAGGCCGAGCTCTGATAAACTAACCTCGTGTGAACGACTGAGTGCCAAGCCAGAGAAGGATAGGAGGCGACAGAGACCTTCGAGTGAACGGTCATCACCATGTTGAATAAGAGTTTCTGCCATGGCTGCCACTTGGTTACCGGACACAACTCCAACTTTGTGCAGCTCACTTATAAACCTTAATAAAAGAAAGTCAATCAATTTGGTTTAACAATAAGATGCAGGTAAAAAATTTTACGATTTGTTTCAAGAAATTAAATATACATTAGAATATCATTCCTCTGATACAGTGGTCTTTATTTATAATAATACTCTTATAGATCTATTTCCTTGCAATATGTTTCTATACAGCTTTTTGAGATACCATTATACTCATATTTAAAAAAAAAAAAAAAAAAAAAAAAGTCTTTTACACACACATTAATGACTTGTGCTGTTGTGGTGGTAGACATTACACTACAGTATAATCAAAACAAGTGCACTTTTAGGGAGCTTACTTAATATGGCCAATAAATCTTTTTCTGGCAAGAATTTCTTCATGAATCAGTTGTGAAGTTATAGGTCCCTGGAGAAACAGAAAAATATTATAGTTATTTCTGACCAAACTGCTGGTCATTAATTTGCAGACGACACTACCCCAGAGTGATTAATAAACTCGGATATTAATATTACAGGACAACTTTAAGTCATTCAAAATGGACTGACAACTGGTAGACACAGTTCAATGTTGACAAATTCAGGATTTTCAGCCCGGGAGAAAACAAAAAATGAGGTACCAGATAAATAATTGTGAAATTGCAAACCCATACTTAACAAAATACCTGTATATGGAAAGTCATAATTAGTAGAGATCTAAAACCAAGAAAACATTGCATATAGGTTTGAAATGAAGGCAACAAAATATGAGGCCGTGACTCTAGAAGCATTAGTAATGAAAGCTCCACTGTTATCCTTTAACTTTATCTTGCCCCTGCGAGACCACATTTGCAGTATGCCGAAACTTTTTGACCACAGCACTATGTAACACATGTAAATTCTCTTTATAGTAAACAGAGAATGGTAACCAAATTTATCCTGGGTATTTAAGATGCTCCATTATAAAAAAAATGTCTAATACAATTAAACAAAATTTCATAGATGAAGGGTCTTGCGAGAGATATCAAGACGAACTAAAATATTGACAAAACACCACAAGTTGGAACACAAAACAATGTACAGTACTGTATTCTATTTTAGCATATACAGTTTAGAAAAAAGATATACAAGGTTGCAAATCTGTGGAACAAGCAAAATCAGAATCACAAAAGCAAACTCACTGATAAAGTTTGAACCACAAATTGGTGAAGTGCATGAGTGGCAAGAAAAAAAAAAATAATAGCTGCCACAAATATGTTCATAAGTGAGGGTTTTTATCCTATGTTGTTACGTCTGTGATGGGACATTACCACTACAGTACTTACTCAATACGATCTTGCATTTCATTTTGCCTACTATACTTGTCAGTGGTATTAGGATTAGTCAGCCTCCAGCCTGAAAATTTAACGGAATCCCCAAAACCAACACAAGACGAAATCTGCCAATTCACTCATCATTATTATTATTACTACCTTGTTTCACACTTTAATGAGGTGGGGATGCATCAGCCTAGAAGTAAGACAGTAAATAAGATTGAAGATACTCAGGTAAAGATACTTCATCCAATCACCATACGATCAGCCTCACATTTCAAACACCATTACAAACATACTGTACACATTACCAGGAAGCAGCCAATAGCAACTAACTCCCAGGTACCCAATTTACTGCTAGGTGAACTGGCGCATCAGGGTGAAAGAAACTCTGCCCATTTGTTTCCGCCTCCACCAGGGTTCGAACCTGGAACCTCAGGACTACGAATCCGAAGTGCTGCCAATTCAGTTGTCAGGCCTCGGTAGTGTATTTTACATCCAATCTGTACTGTATATTGTTAGAACAAATAAGCCAGTAAGAAACATGTCTAACATTTAGCTCCATCTTTGGTCCCTTTATGCAAAGTCTTGCTTCCATGCCTTCCATTCGCATTTCAAACGTGTTTTATGTTTTCCTTTATACTGAACTTACCTCAAACATAACATTGTATTGAAGCATTTGTTGATAATTTTCCATGAAGTGAGCCTCACAGGCAGCTGTAAGATCTTGTTGAATTCCAGCACTCGCCGCCAGATCTCGGCATAAACGTGCATATATTGGAGCAAACATTGGTTCATCCTGAGACTATGAAAAAAGAATAGTTAATAATGATTGCATTTCAAAATACTGTACACTATAGACTCCCTTGCATGCAACATTTTATGTCCATGTATGAGAAAATCATTTGGAGCAATTAGGCGACTTTAACCAATATTCTCGTGACTCCCAGACACCCACCTTAATTCTCCCGACCATGATAGGTCAAAAGCTATCCATCTTGGAACTCTACCGAGTTCACTGGGAGAGTATGGAAGCCCCCCCAACTAGTGCCACAACCAGGTTTTTACGAAAAGCTCGTTTAAGCAAGGAAAAAGAACATCTCTCGGTTCTTATTTTTATCTGATTTCCTAACACTATCATCAATTGGGTAATATTTTATGATCCATTATCTCCATTTGCTTAGCTTGATTAAGACAAATTAAAGAATTTTTCCACTTTTTTCCACTTTGAAAAAAAAGCAAGTTCTTGGAATTTCCTCACATTCCAAGTTAGTCATTTATACAAATCAAACAGACTCGAGGCGAGTAATCGTCTCTGTGATATACCAATACATAAGGGACATTAACGTATCAGAAAAATTTATACATTTATCACCATATTTTTTCAAATAAGAAATCTTGCAAGCCCTTTATGCTTGCTATGTCTGTGCTATATTTGGTATTTTCAATCAAAATTTACACCTATAAAATTTCATATTACAATTCACACTTACGGATATACTGTATTACACATCACAGACATACCTAAAGGTTTGAGCAAAGCACAGGATAGTATTTTTGAGTGCACAAAGTATGAAATGAAAGTAGAATTTGATACTAACCTTCTCAAGAAGTAGACTAATAATATGTGGTAGGTGCGTGGGATCTGACAATGGCAGCTCCCGGGCCTGCTCAAGAAATACGCCAAGAGACTGTTGGGTCACCCGATTCAAGATGCCCAACATTCGACGGTATACCTGTGCAACAATTAGCCATTACAATTAAGCAATAGACAATAGTTTCTCAGAATTAAGGAATATATTAACAATCTGCCAATTACTGTACAGTACAACCTAGATTGTTCCACACAACCACCACCAGGTGACAGCACCTTTCTCTAGTCCACAAGTTCATACCTGTCTCACATACAACTAAGTAGTAATAGGCTGGAAGACAGTGATAGCAGCAGAAAAATGTGCTCAGAAAAGGTGCATGTTTTCTAAGCTGTCATTTTTGCCTCTCCCATATTCAGAAAATGTATGAATATGAATTTGTAAACAGCAAATACCAATTTTTAATGTTTTGAGCAGGGCATGTACTAAAACAGTACTGTAATAGAATATTCTAATACAGAATACATACACTGTATAATATTTTAAACTATTGTACAGTACTAGCTGCATTAAATACTGTACCTCTGACTGGCCATGTTGGGCATTAGGTTTCCATGGGTTATCACAGCGACGAAGTGTTGGCTGGACATTGTTGCTGCTGCCAGTCATGTCCACAAGTGGACCTTCAGGCATTTTGGCTGAAAAAACAAAAAAAATCACAAAAATTAATGCCACCATTCTGGAAAATTAGGAAATGTATATTAAAACTAAAACGCATAATTATAGAAAGAATTAAAATATTGTGCTTCAAACCGATTTCTCCACATTTAAAATGCAGGCCTTACACTGTATACTGCAGTTGTTTGTGGCAGTCACAGGATCTACACTTGTTGAAAATTCCACGATGATGTAATGAGCCGAGTACCGGGTAAGCTAAATCCATCCATCCAAAAATCCAAATGTATGGGACAACCAGATCAGGCTAGCACGACCCAATCTTCTTGCTAATAGTCTTGGCCCAAGAACAAATATATGCAACTACCATACCATCACTGAGAAAAAAGCAATTTTGCCTGTCTTCTGTCCTGTATTAAAAGAATGTAGCCCCCCAAAGAGCCTGTTTCTAACATATCCACAACACTGAGTTAGGTTGGTGTTAATTATTCAAATAATTATAAAATTACCATTCAGAAAGAACTGTATATTCTCTAACAAGGTGTACAGTGCTAAATAGTCATTCTGGTTTAGTATCCTTCTCTAATAATCACTTTTCTCAAACAAGGTCCCCATGTTTCATACGATATGGTCAGATCGTACACAGGCCTTTCGACAAATCAAATTTTCTAAAATCATCAGGACAAATAGGGGGACCCATGATGAGCTGCTGGCTTCCTGTCCTCATCGAGGTGACTGGAGATATAGTGGCCCTCAGGTAAATTCAGACAAATATGTATCAGTAGATTTATGCTTGGACACTTTAGAAGTTCTGGTATGTTAAGAGGTGTTTAGGTCAGGCCAAGTTATGTTGGGTTGGGTTGGGCTAGGTTAGACTGGAGAAGTTTTAAAATCTTTATGAAACATCTTTGTAACGGAGTTACTATACTTGCAACTTTCCGACACGAACCACGGGAGACATCTCCCGTCACGCAGGGTGCAGTTGCACCTCCACAGATCTCCAGTATAAGCGCTTTATACTGGTAATGGCTCAAAAGGGCCACCACTTACGGGCTATTCATGCCCGTGCCACCTTTTGGATGGCTTAATCTTCATTAATCAATCAATCAATCGACACGAACCCCTTCAATAATGCACAGAGCATAGCGACAATGAGATTTCAACAGATGTTCAATATCAAACTTGCCAGTTAATCACATACAAGAGGCATCAGACCCTTTACCCGATAGTGAAATTTGGCAATTTAATGCCGAAAAAAATAAAACATGGAAATCAAGCCACAAAAAAATCTCCAATCTAGCAAAAAAATAACATGAGATCATCTCATGTTATCTCAATGTCATCATAGATGTTTGAAAACCAAAAAATAAATTGTCACGAGCAGCACAACAAGAGGCCAACAAGTTAGACAAGATAATTCCCAGCGTGACAAGGTGGCGCAATGCTCATCACAATTTCAAGACTTTATGATGACACATGGAGGTGACGGACAGCGTGAACTAACAAACTGCACCGCGTCCATGCCTGTTACAGCTTTACCTAGCGTGGAATGGTTGTCCCAGCTACAGGAGCGGAGTTCGGCCACCGCCGTGTCTGCTGGACCACCAACCCCAGGAAGGAACTTGGTCTTGAGAGAGAAGTGCACCAAGTCGGTCCTCTTGTTTACAATATGCAACATAGAAAACGGCCACTAGAGCTCTTCCCAGCGGTAACAATACAATACAATTTTATTTAGGTAAGGTACATACAATAAATTTTTACAAAGATTGGTTGACATAGGTAGAGCTAGTGCATACAATGCCTAAAGCCACTATTACGCAAAGCGTTTCGGGCATGATAAACTTAAATGACAAGCTTAATACTAATTGAGCATAATGAGTAGAATGAAAACAAGAAATGAAAACATAGATGAAAAAGCAGCACAAATACAATTATGTCGACAAACAGCGCTCTTTAAAGAAAAACAGACATTGGTTGACAATAGAAGGGTAAGTAGGTTACAGGGAATTTATTAGGTATAGCTTCGTTTTTAACTTAAACTGGTTGAGAGAGGTACAGTCTTTAACATGGTTGGGAAGGTCATTCCACATTCTGGGCCCCTTGATTTGTAGAGCATTTCTAGTTTGATCAAGTCGTACTCTAGGAATATCAAAACTATTTATTTCTGGTGTGGTGCTCATGGGTTCTGTTACAACCTTCTATGAAGCTTTTGAGATCAGGATTGGCATTATAGTTTAGCGTTTTATATATGTATAATACACATGAGAGAATGTGCAGTGACTTAATGTCTAACATATTCAGAGATTTGAGTAGGGGAATAACTACTACACTTATTCATAATAATAATAATAATAATAATAATAATATAATAATAATAATAATAATAATAATGAATAATAATTTATTTAGGAACAGTACATATATTGTTGCAGCGTTACAGTACAAACATTCTGTTTGATTTAAAGATAGAGGTAGTACACTGTACTACCTCTATTGCTTCAAACCGATTTCCACGATGAAACATTTATTTATTTTTCCATACAATACCTAAAGCCAATAGTACGCATAGCGTTTCGGGTAAGTAGTAATAGTTAAGGTGTCCTGTACACCAGTTGTAGAGTGCTCCTGGCAGTATGAGTTCGAGTCACTTTTGGGGTGTGAGTTTTCAGTTGCATATATGCATGGGGACCATTCAGGCTTGTTCGTATAATAGTAATTATTTAGATATTTTTTGTACATAAGCTTCTTAGGTACAGAGCAGTAAGCTGCTACCCTATTCTATATGAGAGATTACAGAGTATAGATTAAGAGATAGGTATAAGTTAATCTGATAAGAACTATTATATCCTGTGAAAACCAATGTTTTTGTTTCTTTACATGTGTATAAATAAATAAAATAAATGTTGAAAATTAACAACAGAGTCCTACCTCCAATGTATAATATATTGTTAACACACACAAGATGCAACGAGAAGTCTGTTATCAACTGTTACTGTAATTATAAGTTGTGCAGATTGATTGTAATCCAATTAATTATTTACAAATATTCATTGAGGTCTGATTAAAATGTTATGCCCTATGTAACCCCTTTGCACTACTGGCCACAGCATTAGTATGGAGTGCACAATAAATTAGTCAGTATTGGTCACTCCCGGCGGTAACAATCAACTTAATAATATCTCCCATCTCACAGGATGGTTAGTCATCTTGTTCTCATAGTTATAGAAGGATATAGCTGCTCTAAAGAAAGTGCAACACCGGGCAACAAAAATCATTCCAGAGCTAAGTCAACTCACGTATCGGGAACTGTTGAGGGCCACAGGGCTAACAACACTGCATACCAGACATGACAGGGTGGATCTTATTAAAACTTAAAATACAAAACAATTTGGAGGATTTGGAAAAAAATTTCTTCAAAATAATCAGATGTAACACGAACGAGGAGCAACAAGTTCAACCTCAACAAGCCACAATGTAGGACATAAAACAGATGCTTTTCTTTTTTTTTTTTTTTTTTTTGAGATATATACAAGAGTTGTTACATTCTTGTACAGCCACTAGTACGCGTAGCGTTTCGGGCAATTCCTTAATCCTATGGTCCCTGGAATACGATCCCCTGCCGCGAAGAATCGTTTTTTCATCCAAGTACACATTTTACTGTTGCGTTAAACAGAGGCTACAGTTAAGGAATTGCGCCCAGTAAATCCTCCCCGGCCAGGATACGAACCCATGACATAGCGCTCTTGGAACGCCAGGCGAGTGTCTTACCACTACACCACAGAGACTTTTCCACCCATAGGGTTGCAAACCCGTGGAACCGCCTACCCGCCGAAGCCTTACTTTAGTTCATTTATTATGCACTCCATACCCATCTTGTGGGCGGTAGTGGAAAGGGTTATAGAAGCACATAATAGGCTCAGGGGCTGAATCCCACAATTCGTTTAGCTAAGCAAGTTACAATCTATGAGCTAGTTACAAAATTCAGTACAAGTCGTCACATCCACAATGGGCTCGAGATAGACCACAAGTACAGTTTCTAAAACCGACATATATGGAGAGCTAGTGTCACAACCGATATGTTTGTCCTGCACACCGCCCCCCATCCAGTGGGCAGCGGTGGATAGGTTACAATCACTTAGTTACTACCTACAGTTAGCAAACTGGGGCTATTTGGCTAAAATTTCTGATAGCAGATCATTTTGAATTAAATATTTACATATTGTTGGAGCATTGGCTATAGAATTGTCTCTGAATTCACCAAAACTGCTAGGTTTTAAAATACAGCTGGAAAAGATCAGGGCAAATGGGGGGGGGGGACAACTCGCCGGCTTCCTGTCTTTATCAAGGTAGTGGCCCTCAGCTCAATCAACAGGAGTCAAGAGGTTAAACTTCCTAGTACAGTATATACAAAATTGCTGTCCAACTAGACAACTTTTTCCATGAAGATCCAGAAAAATTTAGTATCTCCAATTCTGCTTTGAGACAAATTTTCTGGTGCGGTCAGCAGCTCAGTCAGTGCTGCCAACACATCAACATGCAGATTATATACGAACTGAGTAGAAGGTTTGCCAACCTCGTCACATTAAATATTCCTACTGTGTACCAAAAATTACAAAGGCTAGTAAATAGTAACAAACCATTAGATCCATACTGACCATAGTAGATCCACACTGTTTCTGGAAAGTTTATGGAGTTATAAACAGAGAGACGTGGATTTCAAGAGAAAGAAGTGTTCTGTGTCTAGAGTAGTTTAGTCCTGCGCTATGTTCGGGGACTAAAGTATAGATGCTGGTAGGCAGAGAAATGCGTCACCGGTACACGAGAAGTCGCATGCGTTGAGTGCTTTCCCCTCCTGATAATTTTACCTTGCCTTCATAATGGGTTGGGTTGTGTTGTGGTTTCGTTTCAGGGGATAGGTTGTCTTTTAATCGCAAGTTGTGGAATGATCATGCCATCCTAGGGATCCACTTCATGAATCCAAGGGACGATGATAGAGGAATTTTCCCCAACGGAGAGCTAGGTTATTTAGTAGCGGTTAGGAGGAAGAAAGGGAAGGCTGGGATTTTAGGTATCCATATATAAAAGTCTTTTGAGTGAATCTTAAGATCTTCAAATCAAAAGTAGCCACAAAGGCGTGATAAATTGAGAATTTTGTAGATGAAGTTAAAAGTCCTGCGGAGGAGTTTGCAGGATAATATCAGGTATAATGAGCTCAGGTAACAGCTGTGTGATATATGTGCTCCATCAGTTAACGTGTATAGCTCTAATAAGCAGAGTAAGCAACTTATAATCATATTCTGGCGAGACGTGAATATTATGTATAATAGTGTGGACATATGCAAATTAAGGACACACCCCGAGTGATTTAAACCCTGTTGACTGTGGAGCTTTGGGAGACTCCTAGATAAGACGGACACTATTCAGAGCCTACATGCATTATTTTTACCAAACCAAAGCACAAACTAAATATTACATTATACTTTAACTACGAATGAGAAAAAACTTTGATGTCAATTTATTGTGTCAATAGAATAAGAAGAACGACGACAGTTAGTCTGTCTCAACAGTAAGCTGAGGAAGAGCAAGTTTAGTCAAGTCAAGTTTAGTGTTTCTGGAGTAGGATGCATCTCCGGTGAGGGCCCGCGAGTATTTATAAACCTAATGAAGGTTCAGGAATTGAGCAGTGGAGTAGTTATTTTGAGTGTCTGATTGTAGCAATCATGAGCGGCCACAATATGGGGCAAGAGAGGGCATTTGGACCCCTTTACATAGCTAAACGTTATCAGAAAAGTTATGGGAAAAATTTAATTAATGCAATTTTTCCGCTCGTCCTCGTACAAATTACGTCGCTTTCCGCTCGTATGCGTACTCAGGGCTAAAAATTTATGTAATTCAAACAAATAGGCTCACGAAAGTGACGTACTGTCCCGTTTTGGGTCCTCTGGCTTAGGCTATTAGGTTTAGAGAGGAAACTTTCAATTAACGGTTTTCGTGACGTTTTGAAACCTTCGGGGAACTCCCTGCCCTCCTAACCTACCAGAGGAACCTTAACTTGCCGTTTTGGAAAATAAAAATCCAAAATTGAATTGGAAAATAAATTTCCATTTTGAATTACGTCAATATTTGGCCGTAGCGCAGACAAGCGAAAAGCGACGTAATTTGTAAGAGGACGGGTTGTGTTTTCCCTAACCCTACACTGTTGGGATTACTATTCTATTCTGTTTATAATGTCTCTTACGTAGGCACACACTCTCAGGTAGTGGTCAGAAACAAGATGAGAATAACCTTATCAATGTAGATCTGATCTAATTAATTTTCAACTTGTCTTAATTTCCTCGAGATACTTATTTCTCATTTCTTGTGGCATCATACGTAATGCCTTCTTGTGATCTCAATGTTTACCTGGCTAGCAAGTCAAGAACTAAATACGTATATATGGCTCTGTTTAATTTGTTGTTGTTCTGTACTGCTGGATAATTGGCACGGTGCGTTCCGAACACAAGTGAGCAAAGCACTTCTAAAAAATTAAAAAATCGATTATAATAATAGAATCAGTTACAAGTTTTCAGGATGGGCTGCGTACCCTGGTTAGTTGCAGTCCGGTACTTCAACCCCCCAGCTGGTGGCCGGCAGGAAATGATGGATGAGGGGTTGTGAAGCCACACCACTGAGGGCAGCCCGTCATCTGAGGGGTGGGAACTGGTGGACTGTTCTCTCGTCTACGGTTACCTGCACGGCAAACAGTTAGGTGAATCAAATAACAAATCCACAAGGGCCGTGACGAGGGTTCGAATATAGCGAATCAAGATCGAGTATCGAGGAAATGCTTTATTATATGTTTTGTCAAGTTATTCAGTATTTCAGCCCATCAGCACAATATAAGGCCGTCGGGTCCACAACGTATTAATCGGCTATTTATTTTAAAATTCAAAATATGTAAATATTTGGCAATCCTGACAATGTTTGAAGCTATATGGTTTGAGACGTGCTTCATTAACGTTCAGTCAGTATTGCAAACCACTCTGTAAATCACATTCTGACCTCGTCAACGAATTCAAAATGCTCGTTAATCTAGCCGCCACACCCACTGTTTATGAGTAAAAAACCACTTTAGACATGAATCGACTGATGAAGTATGCAATATTCTCTAGCAGTGCTTAGTTCACGGCCTTTCTAAATGCAATGAAAATTAGGTACTTCAAATATGAAAATTCTGAAATACTTGCCAACAAAACCAATGTATATAAAAGTATTAATTTATATATACGAGGGAACCCATATTTTTAATACACAATTCATTTAAACTGTTGAACGTGTGTTTATGGTCGGCCGCCTCTTTAGCAACGTAACTGCGCTAGTTAACAAGTTATAGAATAGAAGAGACACTGAAAATTTAACAAATGGACAAACAACTTTTAACAATATATAAAAGATTTAGTGAAAATTGTAAATTAAGCATTCTAGGTAGTGTGTGGCATACATCAATATAATTTATTTCATATTTATATTTCTCGGTTATTTACAATGAAATAACATAATTAGCATAATTCCATAATGTGTGTCATACAGTGCAACTGTATGGCCTACCTGCTTGAGAAGGCAGTTATTTGAAATCATGATGTCTTTATTACGTTACATTACTTAGATAACCTATCGGAAAGACGGGAGACATCTCCCGTCACGCAGGGTGCAGTCGCACCTCCACAGATCTACAATATCAGCTCTTCATACTGGTAATGGCTCAAAAGGACCACCACTTACGGGCTATTCATGCCCGTGCCACCTTTTGGGTGACTTAATCATCATCAATCAATCAATCTAGTGGAAGCATCAACATCAGAACTATACTCACCTCCCGATTTACTCTATTGTCAATTAGCGAGCGTCCTTAACTATCCCATATACAGGTCGAATTCGAAGAATGTTGTCTGGAAGTCCTCATGTATTTAGTAACACATTATTTCACATTTGTCACCATCTGTGGCTGTAAAGACAGTCCTATGCACGAATGTTGTGATAATAGTTACACTTGCGACCAGCACAATACTTGTTAAGCTCTCCGTGTGAACCAGAAGCTCGCCTGCTGGCTCAGCCACCGTCCCACCACGCCCACCAGGCCAACACTGCTCACTAACACCAATTTGCTAAAGAAATGGAGGAATGTCACAAGAAGAAAAACAAAGGAAGTTGGAAAGGCACAATACGAGGAAAACAAATAACAAGAGTAGAAAAATATTTTTAATTTGCGGATGTTATTGAGGTGTAGGGATTATTGAAGCACAGAAGCATTAGTGAAAGTTTTGGTAATATGTTTATTGTTTGTGATGTGTGTCTATGGATGTATTAACACGATGTACTGAACGGGGTGAGAATAGCTTGAGCTACCTCATCCCTTTGTGTGTATTTTACCTCAATAAACTTATTTCAATTTCAATTCATTAGTGAAAGAAATTTAATCCCGCCAGGGTTAGGGTGACCAACTAGGAAGTACGAGGGTAAAAAGGGAGACAGAAAGTTGATTGGAGTAATATGGCTTTTCAGGCTCTTCATGATCTAGCATTGCAACCTGTCTGATTAGTCAATGCTACTTAAAATGGTTTGAATATTGAACGAACCCGTGAATTGTTAACTAGTTTTTTGTTTACAATATTTTACCCCCAGCCCACACAATATTTTGTGCTTCGAAGCTATGAGTTTGAAACGTTGTTCATCCTGCGTAATTTTTATACGTTTGACAGTCCAACGTTTCAAGTGACACACAGCTCACAATTATCAGAGACGGCTATCACACAATACTATTACTAACATAACCCCTATAATTATAATAGTGATGTTTAATTACCAAAAGAAGACACCAAGCCGGGAAGACTATGTAGCACCGTCTGTGTTGCTGGATATTCAATGCCACTACAAGAACAAAATACAGTGGATGATGTACGCGCGAGACCAGCTATGCAAGCAATGGATGAATTGCCACGTGAACAAGTAATTATTAAAAAGCACTAAACCTGTACACGTAGGCAGTGTCAACCTTGGTGCTCACCTAGTTGGGTGGGCTACGGCTCTTGGTTCTTCCATCTATGGTTCTTGGGTCCTCCATCTATGGTTCTTGGGTCTCCCATCTATACTTTTAATTGACTGGGTATATATATAGGTTTCGGAGCCTATTGGGCTCTTGTCATATGTTCATTTCATTGTGTATGCCGTCTGCCTTCACCATTTCACTTCTTAGTGCAACCAAATTGTTCACTACTCTCACACATAATGTTTGTGGGTATAATTGCATAATGTGTGTCATATACAGTACAACTGTATGGCTTACCTGCTTGGAGAAGGCAGTTATTTGAAATCATGACAAGTCTTTATTAATATCCTGCATTTTGGAAGCATAATGCTGGATAACAGTTTTTTAACATATTTTCAGGATTTATCAAATGTGCAGCAAAACAATGAGCTTGACTTACCACTCACAGTCATCATATGCCTACTTCTTGTACAGGAGGTCGAGTGGTCATATCTGCTACTTAAATTTTTTATTTATTTAGACTTTAATGCATCTTTGGATGCATGACTTTGGCGCATCTTTATATTGCCATGTTTTTAGTTGATTTTATCTTCAGTGTTTATTTTTTTTTATTCTAGAACCTAACTGCCTAACAAAATACCTTTACCCTTCACTTTGTACTGGTCTTTACTTTAGGTATTGTTACTTTAATTTGTAATTGTTTGTATTAATTCTACCAATCTAGTGAGAACTTGAATACACATTTAGTAGAGTTGTACCTAACACTGATTTTTTTTCTACAAATACAAATCTTTTTTGTAATATCAGAAAAATGAGCCCATGTTTACTGCTTTAATAACCATAACAAATCTCACATATGAGTAGCACCAGAGGTACACTTTAACAGAAAACTTTTACACCAGGGGGTTACGTGTAGCAATATCACTTACGAGATGGTAATCTCGTAAATATATGTATTTGATGAGAAAATATTGAGGTAATGTGATGGTAAAACTTTCATGTCCGGACTCTCCAGACACATGCATTACCCACGAAGCCATTACTGTATAAACTTAAAAGTATCTCAACCAGAAGATATACCAGAGTTGGCCAATGCCTTCCAAATTCCATGTCTGGTTGGTATATTTTTAAGCTCATTATGGTTCAGTGGGTAATGCATGTTTGGGTAGTTCACGGATACGAGGTCCATCCCATAAACATTGCCTCAATACTCTCCATGTATGAATCACTGTGATTTCATTGTTCATATACTTTATATGTAAGTGTGTAAGCTCTCCCTTCCTCCCTATGCCTAGAGTATATACAATACTTTGATCATATGCCAATGTATTAAGCCATTATCAAACTAAAATATTATGAACCCTGCAAAAGGTTTCTAATTTATAGGATATTGGTAGGAACTTCTTATAACTAAGTAACAGGTAGAAGAATGAAAATTATGTAGGACACCATATTATCAAACGGTAATGAAGTGTTTAATGAAGGTCATGGTTGATGCTCTTTGTCTTACAATGAGGACAACAGTTCTATAAATAAAACACAAAAGTATCAAAGTTGACTTTATTTGCTTGAAAAAATTGCATTGTTAATTTGTTACACACTATACCAGTTATCAAAAATATATCTTACTGACAATCTTAAGATGAATATTTGGGACAAAGGCACATATTTTTTTCCATAAAAGTGTGAACAAAAGAAATAAAGTTAGGATCTGATGCACAAGAAAGAAATGTGCAACAAAATCTCGTGATATGTGTTCCTTGGTTTAATCTTACATCACATTGTTCAAGAAAATTCTCATTATTAGTCATCAACTTGAAAAGGTACAGTTTTAACCAAGTTATAACAACAAACTATTGTCTCAGTACAATATTTGGATGCTAGTGTTCCACCTTAGTTCACAGTGGGCTTACCTTATAGTAGAATGCAACCAGTAACAAGAAAATGCAAAAATTATGTCCCCTGAATAAAATAACTTGTCATGACTAATATGAGATTTCCAAAAAAACAGCAATGCTGCATGAATGACTGCCACAAGCAAATACAAATGAGAAAGCTTAGGCAGAGTTGAGCATTAATTACAAAACAAGTTCTGTAACCATTTACAAAATGACTAAAATAAACGGAAGTCAAGCATAATGCACATAATGGTAAAAGGCTACTCTTCAGTTAACTTAATTAATGCCATAAAACAACACATTTAAACACTTTAGAACACAGTGGATCCCTCTTAACTTGGTTAAATATTAAGTATTTTACAATGTGTTTAATAACATAAACTGGTTAACTCCTAAAGACAAGGGAAGAGACATGCTATGGATACAGCATGAACAAATAAATTACGCCCTTCACTCTGGAGACCAGCCAATACTGTCGCTACTTGTTACACCATAGAAAAGCAAATACAGTACTGTAACAATTTATAAAATACAATTTAATCTTTGTGAAGGAGACGCTTACATTTATGATATTGCAGGCATTGTACATTTGAGCGGGATTTCATTAAAAACTATAACCACCGACAATAATATATTTACATTAATTCGCATTTTCACTAAAAAAATACAAAAAGGAAACACTATTTCAATTAAGTTCTAAAACTTTACATACAGATTTCTTTCATGACTGACTGCAACATGAATCTTATATGAGCAGTTTTTTTTATATTTCATATGTATATATATATACCTAGGAATTTCCTTAATTTCTGTTAATTCCTTAATTAACAGGAAGGAAATTCCTGTCTTAATCCTTCCTTCGTGGTTTGACTTTGTTACATTGTTCATCACGTGTTAATTTCTTTGTGATTAACATACACATTATATATATTACACAACACCAATTCCAAGTACAGTATACAGTATTTGAAAAACCAAAGATTATCATCATAACTAATATACAAGAATGAAAATAAATTTATTCATGATTTTGATAATATTATCTGTACTGAACTGTATAAACAACACATTTCATATAAACAAGGAATATCTTGGTACAATGACCATTAAGGTTGAATTATCCATAATGGTTATACAAGTCAATAAATTAGAAGTTCCAACTGACAGTATTGACTTTGGCACTATGCAACTCAAGTAACCTATAGTTGATACAAGGCACACTTTGCCAACTGTGACTGAGCACAGACCAGTCAATTGCTGTGACTTGCTGTAACATACGTTGCTTATCATTATCAAGTGAACAAGATTCTTTTAACTCGCACTTACATAGCTGGCAATGCAAAGAAATAGCAGAGAGAGCATCTCTTGTCAAAACACATCACCAGGGAGTCACAGTATGAATGTTCAAATGTTAATTATAAGATGAAAGACATGACTGGGTGCCAAAGGAACATATTTATGGAAACATGAGCAATAAAAGCAATCATCACATATTCGTCAGTGTATCGTAGCCATCATTAATAAATATTATTAAATACATTACACTAAAACTAAAAATAATAACATAGCAAGCACATAGAGAAGAAATGGTTGAACAAAATATTCAAATATGAACAATGAGAGTTCTTAATTCTTCCCTACACACACAAAAGCCTTAAAAATGATCTGAATATAAACATTAAATGGCAAATATCTAAACCATTTCTGTATCAAATTAAATCATACAAAGTCAACAAATTTGAATCTTGTTTATCGTATCAATAAGAACTTTCCTGTGTAAACTTTTAATTAATGCACAGTTGTGCATGTTCTCCTTGATAGGTGGAAAATAATATCTTGAATGAATAAAACACGTTACAGTTATTATTAACAATCTATGTTTATAAATCACAATCAACATAAAATATTTCTTAATCATTCATAAAATAAATTATCATAAGAGTCTGAATTGCACACTTTCTTATTAGTATACTGTATTTGTATTAAATAATCTACATTGCATATCTAGATCTTCAACTGAGAACTGAAATCTGCATCTCGGAAGGCTACACCTAACTTCAGTTTACACACTATGATGGGTAGGAATAACCCGTACGGTAGGAATGATGCGTGTGACCTAAGTTCACTCCTTACAGCTTAGAAACTGTGAGCAGACTACATTAACCCTTAATGAATTCTTTTTTGGATTACATACATCAGATGTTATTATACATCAAATCACAACATTAAAAATGTAGACACAATTACAGAAACTAAAACACTTGCCAACATTTGTGTACGTTCAACACTACTTAAGAGAATCTGTTCATTTTCCTTTTCCTGCAATAACTTTCAAGTCTATAATAAAAGAAAGCTGCAGTTAAAATTAATGGAATATTTGTTAAAAACTAGGTCTTCTCATAAGTCTGATTCCAAAGGTGGGGGCAAATTACTATTATTAACACCATCTGACCCTTGGGGACTTGATGTGGCTAGTGGTGTTATAGTTCTTGAGGACTGATGTGAACCTCCTGGTGATTTTGAATATCTAGGCGAATATTCAGGTGGTAACGATGGGTATGAGGATTCACAATTCTCCTCCATGTCTAAACTATCTTCCTCCACTCGTGCCAATGGAGCTACAACAGGTTCGCCTGGTATGGGTTGTAATGTGGATGGGGTCGCTCTCTCCGACTCTTCCACTTCGACCTCATCCTCAACTGGTGGAAGCTGAGCTGTCGCTTCATAAGCAGGTGGACATTGGTCTAAGGGGATGTCCATTTTAGCAGGATTACTGGGGAGGTCTGGGAGTTCATCATCGGAGGCTGTTATGTGGATTTCAACAGACACCATAGATGGTGTACGTTGTACTGGCCCAGGACTATAGGGAGGAGGCACTTGATCAGTATCAATGCTCTCATTTGCTACACTGTTTGGTCGTACAACAGTATCGGGGATATCTAGATTGTGACAACGGCGATACGGTGGAAGTAAGGTGTGGTCATCGATAATAGGCATATCAACACCGGGTTGGGGTAGCGTTAGGGAACCTTTGTAGCTCGCTGAAGATGCCACTGAATCCCCTCGTCTAGGTGGTTTATGCAGTTCGTCATATTCCCACAGGGGAGAAGTGGGACGAAAATGAGTGTGGTGTGGGAGGTCATCAGGGGTATGGGGACGTTTCCTTGATCCTGCTGATCCCCAGCCACACCATGCAGCAACCGTCTGGGCCAACAACAGTATCAAGAAAATGAGAGTGAGCGCCGTACACAAGGTTACACTAGTCGTTTTCACCACAGGAGGCAGGTTTTGTGCCAATTTGAGCAATCCAACCACTTCTCCCGGCAAAGAATCCACTCCAACTTCAAACCAGAATATGGGTAAGACCACATCAAAGTGGCGGGCTCGTTCAAGAGCTTGGCTGCGATCGAGCATAACATTCATCTGCATCCGGAGCTTCACCCGCAGAGGAACGCCCAGGTCTGGATAGATGTCGAATTCGGTCCTATGCTTCTCTGGGTCCGGTCTGTAAAGGATAATAATAATACTATTAATAATAATAACAACAACAAAAATAATAATAATAATAATAATATCGTTAAGACCATTTAATAAATATTACAAATAACCCTTATTTATTAATTAAAAGGTAAAATCAAGAAAAAGAAAGTTTAACTTTGTAATTTGCAGCCTAAGCCTTCCTAATCCTATAAGTTGTTATAACTTACAGCTCTAAAATTCTTTCATCTGTATAGCCTAAATTCTTTCAATCAAACTCGTTCGTAGCCTAAACGCTGTCTTAAAACTTTACAGCTCTTTAAAACTTTATAGTGTAAACTCTCCTATCTCGAACCTAGCCCAACCCAACCACATTTGAGCACAATGTAACATGACCCCCCCATCCAGTGCCCATCCCACTTAGGGGTATGTGTGACCTTGCCCCCATAATATTGCCCCCCCCCCCCTTTGTTTCCTATTCAGCTACTCTCGGGCAGCAACTCTCTTTATATCCTAGTTGCTGTGTGTTGTGGTTCATTTGGAGAATGCTCGGTTGTCTGGCACTGTTGCTGACGAATTTAGGGACAATGATGAAGTTGTCGAGTCGCGAGGGCAAGGGAGCGTCGTCTGTGAGTCATACGAGAATGAACCATGTAGATTCGAAACGTCGTGTTTATTTATAATAAAGTGTAATACATTCTACAGTTAATTATTTTAGTTTACCAAGAACAAAGATGACATTTGGAGAAATCCTCCTCCAATTAAACCAAGATGCAAGAGCACTAGTCAGAGGGATAGAAGCCCTAAACAAGAAAATATTCAACACAAAATATGCAGTCATATTCAATAAATTATATATACATATGCATATATATATATATTATATAAATATATAATTATGTGGATTATGATCAAATCCACAAGGGCGTGATGAGGGATCCTAGTAAGGACAGTAGCACTCCAGGATGCAATTCTTAGCCGGATCTCCCAGTCCGGCTAAGCCTAAAGGATATACGTGTGTATACAGAGCACATCTGAACACATGGGCCAGAGCACAGCACTTGCCAACATTTGTGTACGTTCAACATTACTTAAAGAGAATCTGTTCATTTTCCTTTTCCTGCAGTAACTTTCAAGTCTATAATAAAAGAACGTCTATAGTTAGACCACAGGTGGAGGCGAGGAAAATTCACATTTGCATAATCTAACCTTTGTATCTCCTCAAGAATGCTGGAGCCTCACGCTCAAGGCTCAACAATGGAACCTGTCTGTTAACCTGGCACCTCCTCAAGGAGGCGCCTCGTTAATATTGCCGCGGGATATAGTTCAGAATTTCTTTTGAATATGTATTTGTTTTAATATTGTGAGTACGTAACGGCACTGGGTGTTTCTTTCATTAATATTATTTTTTCTACCACAAACGTGGCCACACACTTACAATGCTAACCAGCATATATACATTGTTTTCTGTTCTCCATGGGCAGGGTTAAAGATCTGTTAAACATATAGCTCTGTGATTTATTGAACAATCAACAACAGAAAGTGATTATAGTGTTCTTAAAATTGTCACTTGGCGATCAGTGCTCTCGAAGGAGAGAGGGGGATTATAGATGACGTCAAATCAGGTTCCAGTTCCACCCGTACAACCCGCTGGAGTCTGATCATTCTGTTCTGTTCATCTTACAGTCTGTTCCGTTCTCTGTTCTGTTTCATCTTACAGTGTAGTGGCAAAGCGCGTGGGCCCTGGGATAGAGTCCCATTTTTTTAGTTTTACACCCCAGAAAATAACTTCATGTTAACTGATTATACTTATAGTTATTAAACTACGTTATTAATTACAAAATCAGGCTGGGTATCACTGAACACGTGAGGGGTAACACGTGAGGCTTTAGAGTATTCAATCATGTAAAAAGAATTCATACGTGATCCCGCAACATCGAATGTGCAGATGTCTGTCTTAAATGTTCCATAACTGACAACATCCTTCTCCTTATCCCTCACAACCAGATTGTCACCTCACAACCAGATTGTTCACTAACCTGCCTAAGTGTTGACCTGCTTGGGCTTCCGCGTAAGGTTAATAGTTTACTTAAACCGTCAAGTTAATATCTAGTCAAGGACCAGCTACTGTCCTTCACCGACAAAAATGTGACTATGCATCATCAGGCCTGCTTATCCCTCTCCTTATAATCACGTCAAATTTGTTTTAAGAAGCGCCTACACAAGCCTGTGCTCGTCTTAGAGCTTGTAAGGTTGAGTTTCAGCTCCTAGGTCCCCCGCCTGATCCGCTGTGGATCGTCAGTGACAACCCCTCTCTCTGTCGTACGGACTTACGTGCCGAGCGCTCTGTGCAGCAAAGCAGCGCATTAGGCTTTATGCGAGCTGGAGTTTAGCCCATCAAACACTGAATTCAACGAAGACTAAGCTTGTGTGGAGAGTTTGTGGGGGAGACTGAACGTTGTGTCGGTGAGGCAACCGTGCACTCAGCACCTAGTTCACCAGTTTCTCTGCCCTCAAGCACTCACACGCGCCGCAGTCATGTATACACCATCACGTAGTTGAATCCCAGGTTACAATGATTTTGACCATGCCGTGATGAAGTTATGACATGAAACATACCATCACGTTTCAAGAGACAAAGTACGGCGAGAATATCACTAAACCACCCCCATCCCACCCTCTTTTACCCCCCCCCCCTTCCCCTTTCCTTCCTATCCTGTCCGTCGCCCCCCTTACCCCCCCCCATCTCCCTACTTTCCCCCTCCCCATTTTTCCATATCTCTCCCTCTTTTCTGTTTGGTCTCCACCCTCGAATAGACAGACTTTACACACACACACACACACACACAGATGCACTTGTCATGTGCATCTGTGTTATATATATATAACACAGATGCACATGACAAGTGACAGTTACAAAGACAAAGAGTTTTATAGACAGAAAAGTTTTATAGACAGTCACCAAGGACGGTGGTCCTCAGGCCAGGTTGAGACAGAACTATCGACATCACCTACAGGTAATAATTTAGAGGAGGAGGAGGAGGAGGAGGGGATAACGAGCAGAGACCTTATTAAAATACCTCTAACATACCGGTGCCATACGCACATTCTGATAACATTGTATATTTACAAAACTTTATTACACGATATATTAAATTAACGCACACTTAAACAGATTTAGTGGATCATTACTTGTGCTCTCGCTGGAGTGTGTTGGGCAGCGACCCTCTCTCCTTGTGTACCGCTACACCCCCCTTCCCTAAACCCCCTCATGACCGGCTTCTGTCCATGGTCGCTGCCCCTCTCCCTCCTCCCCCCTGAACATGTCTGGTTACTCCCTCAGCCTCATTCTCGTCCTCTCTTTTGGCTCATTTTTTCCCCATCTATGAACTTTCAACACCAAACATTCATCATTTTCCAGACAGTACGGCACAATAACGTGGCGGAAAATTTGACACCCAACCCACACATCTGAAGATGAAGGAGTGGCGACGGGTTGGTTCGTCAATGGACCAGTCATCAAGTCATCATTTTCTCTCTCATCCTCAGGTCCGCAAGGCTCGGTCCTAGGACCACTACTCTTCCTAATGTCTAAAAATAACTAACCCAAGGAAGCTGGACCGAAACGTCGTCACTTTATTTTCAGATGTTAGACCAGGTTACAAAAGTAGAACTTTTGGGGGGAGTAGAACTACTCTCGAAACCCACTCCAGGTATAGCAATGTTTTGCGGGCGACGCAAAGCTAATGAAAAGGGGAAAATGTCTAGGAGAACTACAGAAAGTTTAAGAAATAATTATCAGCATTTGACAAGCACATCAACATCCACTTTTGTTACTCCATACAACCTATAACATTCACAACACTAATACCGAGGCAAGAGAAAGGTCAAGTCTCAAGCTTACCTTACTGTTGTTACGTCTTACCTTACTTACCTCTCTTGTCGTCAGATAAAAGTCTGGAGATAACAAGATACCCTTGTCTGATAGCTTTATCCATGACAATATATCTAACAGCTTTACCCATAACAATATGTCATATCTGTATCTAATGCCACAACACCATATTCTTGTGTATATTTTGCTCAACTTCTTAGGTATTTAAAATAATAAAACTGTCTATCACACCTCTTATTATCCACGTGAGAATAATAATAATACTGAACTAGAAAGGTAGGGTGTAGTGAAATGCTTAATAATACAAAAGTACAGCATGAAAAATGCCATAATGAACACTTCCTTCCAAAGTACTAACACTCCCCAAGGAGCGTGTATGATACTGGTCTCGAACATACAGATCAGCACACTGGTGGAACAAGCTGTGGAGAACAAATGATCAATGTTCTGAAATCCTAATGTGTGACTCACTCCATCTCCTGTTACTCACGACTCGAGTATCGGTCGGTATGAAAATGTTACCTTCCACTTGCTTTCATCCTTCACTTGTGATACCATAAGCTGCTGACGCGAGCCCGAAACAACGCGTAGTGGCAACATTTTAGTGCACACGTATCAGGCTTTCATCACCCGCAATGGTGGTTAAACCAAGTACTGTTTGGCAGTCTTGTTGATGCAAGTATCAGTTCCATACCTACTCCTTGCACTCTTAACGCCACAATTATGTCATTCTACTAAACTCCTCTGTTTTAATCAGAACTCAAGTTCAGAGTTAGGTAATATGAGACATATTTCCTCTTAGACCGGACCGGGTCGCGGGGGACGGTATTGCGGGCAGACTGCAATACGGATGATAAAGAGAAAATTGGTTGTTCTGTAGTCCTCGGGTTCCCTAATCATTCTATCACGAAAGGTTAGCAGGCCGAGAGCTTTCTCCTACCATAGCTCATGGTAAGCCTTACCCTACTAGTTTACCACGGAACACGACCCGCCAACCGGTTAACAACCAGGTATCCGATTACTGCTGGGTGAACAGGAGTGAACATTTAAGGAACGGTACCCAGCCGACCACCTCTGACAAGGAATCGAACCCTAATGAAATCGCTGGCGAGGCGTGGGGGGAGGGGAGAGCT